CACCCCACCGTACCCTCTGCTTCTTCTTCCCTTTCCTCAACTGGCAGAACAGGTAACTCCCCTTTTCTCAATGAAGCTATCCTACACCTCTCCCTACCCATGTGCTCTGCTTGGATTTTTCCATTTGGAGCACAAAAACCAGGATCATCTGGTCACAGACTACAGCAGTGCTGTTAACATGGTGACAGGTTGATTCAACTGATCTGGCTGGCTAGGCAGTGTCCCCTTCCTCCCTCCCCACTCCATGTGAGTCCCTCCTGAAGCTGCACCCTCAGTGGAAGAGGACGATCATTCCCAGAAGAGGAGGACTGGTCTTCCATCAGGGGTAGCTGTGCTCCCCTGCTAGAACCTCTAAAAAGCTTTCAAGAAGTGGCTAATGTAACATCAAGGATGATGATTAAAAAAAACAAAGCAAGGAAATACAGAATGGTGAGGACAGGGACTATTTTAGATAGATCTGCAGAGGAGTGACTCTCTGAGGAAATGACTTTTGGATAAGTCATTATCCAAGGTAGAGGGAGGAAGCCTGCCATCGGAAAATCTATGGGAAGAGCATTCTAGACAAAGCAAATACCAAGTACAAAGGCCTTGAGGCAGCAATTAGCTTATAATAGAGGAGGAGCAAGAAGGAAGGCTGGAAAGGAGGGACAGCATGGTGGTGGGACACCAGCTAGTGGAGTTAGTTGAAGTCACATCATGAAGAACCTTGAAATCTATGGGGAAAATGTTGGGTTTCATTTTAGGAGAAATTAGAAGCCACCAGAGGCTTTTATTTTATTATCATTCTTATTCTTCTTATTATCTTCTTGCTTGAGACCGTCTCTATCTAACAGAGGCTGGTCATGAACTCATGATCCTCCTGCTTCAGCTTTCCTAGTGCCAGGATTCTAATAGGCGTGTACCACCACTCTGGCTTCACTGGAGAGTTTAACAGGAAAATGGCATAAACTGATTCAAGCTCTAGAAAGATCCTTTGGGCAGCTGTCAAAAGAATAGATAGGCCGGTCATGGTGGCACATGCCAGTAATCAACAAGGCAAAGAGGATGAGGAAGGAGAATCAAGAGTTCGAGGCCAGCCGGGCTTAAAAAAAAAAAAAAAGAAAAGAAAAGAATGGATAGGAGGGGGGAGAAATGACCCAAACACTGTATGCACATATGAATAAAAGAAGAAGAAAAAAAAAGGATAGGAGGGCTGGCAGAGTGGCTCAAGTAGTAGAGCTCCTGCCTAGAAAACATGAGGCCCTGAGTTTAAACCCCAATACTGCCAAAAAAGATAAAACAAATAGATAGGGAAAGAGAGAACTAGGAGACCAGAGAGAAGGCTGATGCAGTTGTGCATACAAGAGAAGCTGGCGGTCTGGACCCTGGTGGTGACAGCCAAGGAGGTGAGCATTGGCTGAAGCCTAGGTCATATGGCTCCAAATCGAGCCTGTGCATGAGTGCAGGTGAGAGCTTAAGAGCAAGGCACGAACTTTGTTGTCAGCTGTCCTGGGTCTCTAGCTCAGCTACATGCAGTCAAGCTCTGAGTCCTTGGGCACCTCTCTGAAACTTGGTTTCCCCATTTGAAATATGAGCATGAGAAAGCTTGTTTTCAAGGGCCACCTTGAGAATTCAGTACCATGTAAATAAGGCAGAAAGCACAGAATGAAGGACTATGTAGCCACTCAATCAAGTTAGTGTGACTCAACACCCCCCTCTCTTTTTGCTGCTAAAGAAACTGAGGCCAGCTAGCTTAGAGGCTGACGGAGGCTGAAGGGCAGGGAGGGACAGTGGCAGCTTCACAGTGTTCCTCAGGTCACACATACACTCAGAGTGTGCACAATGGATGGATGAGCAGAGTAAGCGAGCAACACCAACATCACCTGGCTCTTTCTGGACAGCCTGCTTGCCCACTTCTGAGCTTGGGAACTTAGAACTACTTCTCTACAGTAAGTGGCCACGCCATTCGGCTGCAGCATCAGGGAGACAGCTGGGCGGAATGGGGACTTGGGCCATCTGTAACACACACACCAGGGCGAGCTCAGCTTTACCTACCGCACCAGGCACCAGGAAATCCAGTTTTTCAGTACAAGTCAGAAACGCAGGTTTTTTTTTTTTTGCAGTACTGAGGTTTGAACTCAGGGCTTGCGAGGCAGATGTTTCTACCACCTGAGCCACTCCACCAGCCCTTTTTGCTCTGGTTATTTTGGAGATAGGGTCTCACTTTTTGCCCAGGCCAGCCTGGACCTCCTATTTTATGCTTCCTGCTGTTGCTGGGATGACAGGCACAGACCACCATGTCCAGCTTTTATCCTGTTGAGATGGGATCTTGCAAACTTTTTTTGCCCAGGCTGACCTAGAACCATGGTCCTAAGGTCTTAGCCTCCAAGGTATCTTGGGATGACAGGGGTATACCACTGTACCCATCTATTGGTTGAGGTGAGGTTTTGCTAACTTTTTACCTGGGCTGGCCTCAAATGGTCATCCTCTCAATCTCAGCCTCCCAAGTAGTTAGAATTATAGGTGTGAGTCACTGGCACCTGGCTTCTGCCATACATTAAAAAAAAAATTTTATTAGAGTATATTATGTGGTATATTTAAACTTTCCTGATTTTTATTTACTTTTTTACTTAGCTTTTCAGTCCTAGGAATTGAACCCAGGGCCTTATGCAAATGTTCTATCACTGAGCTACATCCCAACCCAAGTTTCATTATTTTTAAGTATAGGTTCACTTTTTTCCAAACATCGTGAATGCCAAATAGCATATTGGCTGACTCCAACCTTGGGAGTTGTTGTGATCTCTGCTTTACCTGTATTTTTTCCCTGAACTGTGACCTCAACCTCATCAGGCAGGAAGGGTTATTCTCTCCCTTTTCCCCTGATTGGAAAAGGCTGAGGTTCAGAGCAGGGACATGACTTGCCATAGTCAATAAGGGGCAGAGTCAGGATCCTAACCAGCTCCTGCCTGGAGCCAAAGTCTATGGTCTTTCTGGGCTTAGATGAATCCCAGCCATGCCCTTTTTATTTTTGTGGTACTGGGGTTTGAACTCAGGGCCCTACACCTTGAGCCACTCCACCAGCCATTTTTTGTGATTTTTTTTTTTTTTGAGATAGAGTCTCACAAACTATTTGCCCAAGTTGGCTTTGAACCTCAATCCTCCTGATCTCTGCCTCCTGAGTAGCTAGGATTATAGGCGTGAGCTACCAGCGCCTGGCTAATCATGCCTTCTTTACACTATACTCTGTCCAGACTCTTAGGACTCTTTGAGGGGTGCTGGAGCCTCTGCCACCAATTCTGTGACCATTAGCCAGGGCCATCCCCTCTCTGGGCCTCAATCTCTCCATTTGCTAACCTAGGAAGGGCTCAGCTAGGGGAACCCCAATATTGTCACAGCCTCTCCCCTTATAGTCCAACTCTGTATGCTTTAGACATCAGACCTGATCTCAGTAACTCCCTTACCCCATGGCCTGGTTCTGCCACTTACCTGCTACATGGTCTTAGGTTGCTTAACCTTATATGCCTACTGCAAAATGGATTAGAAGCAGCCCCTACCTCCATGTACATGGAGTGATGCTAGGCCCACAGTAACTGCCTCGTGTTAGTTCTCCTGACTACTGGTGTATGTGAGCACCAGCAGGAAGATGTGACGAAAAGAACTTAAATAGTTGTAATAGTTGTGCACCACTGAGATGTGGTGTTTTTTGTTTTTTGCTTTTTTTTTTTTTTTTTAGCAACACTGGGATTTGAACTTAGGGCCTCACACTTGCTAGGCAGGTGTGCTTACCGCTTGAGCCACTCCACCAGCTGAGATGTTTTTAACATTTTCTTTAATGGTATTGTACCAATTTAAAAACATGCTTATGGATTCCTATGACTCTTCCATTGTACAGACAGCAAAAGTCTAAACTCCTGAAGTCAACATTCAAGGCTCTCTCTCATGCTCCATCAACTCGGATTTCACCAGAGCCAGGAGCACGTCGGGGCAGGCCACACTGGTGGCTTGCAGGCCATGTCTCCGCTTCCCCAACGAGGAAACAAGGAAAGTAACAGCGCTTACCTGATAGGCTGAGGCAACGTGACATGGTGACATGAAACAGCTTAGTACAGTGTCTGTCATGTGGAGAAGGCCTGAAGAGTCAGTAATTATCAGTGTCCACATATGCTTCCCAAATCTCTGGCCACCCTGGCGACTTGCCGATCCCTCTGCTCTTGCCCTCTTCTATCTATTCATCCATCCATCAATGTGCTCTGTGCCAAGGTCCAGCTCAAATGCCATCCCCTCCAGGAGGCTTTCTGTCTCCACCAGACCCTCCCCAGGCCCCTTCACAGGCTGGGATACATTCAGCCCTAACCCTATCCCCATCAGTTTTGATCCCCCTATAACTTCACATCCTTCCCAAAGATACAGGAAGTGGGATTTGGCTCTGAGGTCCAGCCCTGGGTCCCAACCCAGAAGACTGAGGACTTTGGCAGGCTTCATGGGAGCTCAGTCATCAAACTGAGTTAGCCAGCTCTGCTGCGCCTGCCTGGCCCCTCTCAGAGCTCAGTTTCTTCTCCAATGTGGCCCCGAGGGTAACTGTGAAGATAAATGGGGAATTGTATCAAGAGCCCTTTTCTCCTTCTGCCTCCTGCTCGGCCTGGTTTGCCTCCCACCTGAGCCAGCTGGTAAGGGAGGGAGGGCTGGAGGAGGGACACTGACAGACATTAAGTGATGGACAGAGGCCTGTTCAGGATGGACTTTAGGCTCTGGTCAGAACTTCCGAATCAAAAAGGTTGGGGAGGCCCAGGATCCTGAATCTGCACACGCCTTCCCCAGGGCATTTGCACGAAATGTGCTCTGTAGTAACTGTCTCAGGAGCGCCAAACCTACTCCTCTTTAAGATTCTCCATGGCTGGCTAGCTTGTGATGACCACAGGTGGCCTCATCACCAAGTTTTGCAGCGCTTCCACCTAGGAGCGAAGAAAGGAACTGCCAAGGCTTGGGCCTGGACTATTTGGACATCCACACATCATGATAAAAACATTTATTGGGCACTTTCCAAGTCTCATTATTTTGAATACCCAAGACAACCTTAGGAAGTAGTACTATCATAAGCTCCACTGTACAGATGAGGAACACGGACTCAAGAGAGAGCGTGACTTGCCCAAATCACCCAGCACGTGCTTGTCAACGCCTGGATTTGAAGCCAGGTCTGGCTCATTGCTGTTCTCTAGCCAGGATGCTGTCTGCCTCCTAAATGCCCACCTGGCAGAGTAGCCACGAAGAACCCTAAGGGAAAATGACCAATAGATAAGGACGGGGGCTATGTCCAGTGTCCTGAAGGGCAGCTTGACTGGAGGGCAGCTTGACTGGAGACCACCAGAGGCAGCCTGCAGGAGAGGAGTGTGGGACCCTTCTGTCATCTCTCCTAGGAGGTCCAACCACCAGCCTAGATCCGCCAGACTGGGCAGCTCAAGCCCGAGCCATCTCTCCTGTCATCGCTGTGTCCAAGAGCTACAAGTGGCCCTGCCTCAGCCCCGAGGGTGTTGTAGGGTTTCCTGACGGATGTGGGGCGCAGACATAGGTGGCCAGGGTTTGCAAAGGGCGTCTGCCGATGGCCAGCACCAAGGCTGAGAGCCTGTCCGGATGGGCACCAACGGCCCTGTTCACTCGGAGGCCTGGATGTAGACGGGCACAGCGAGCATGGCGCACGGGCCCTCGGCGCCTCCCTGCAGCTCCGCCAGAGCCAGGTTGGAGCCCAGCCCCTCCGCGTGCCCAGGTACCACCAGCTCGGGGTCCCCGCCCACCGCGCCACCCACCACGATGGACAGCACGGCGTCCTGCTCGGGGAAGGGTGGCTTGCCAGGGGCGGCCTCGGGTGCTGTCCCCGCCACCTTCAGCTCCTCTAGTCCCAGCGGGTCGCCCAGGGACGGCATCACCTTGCGCCCTCCACTGCCACAGCCACTGCGGGGGGCTGCCCTCCTCCGGGGAGGCCGCCGGTTTTGCAGGTCCTTGTCCTTTTGGGGGCCCAGGCGGCAGCGGTGGTCCTTGAGGTATTTGTGGCGAGAGAAGCCCTTGGCGCAGCCAGCACAGCGGAACTTGTAATTGCCCGTGTGTGAGCGCTGGTGCTCCGCGAGGTGCGCACGGCGACTGAAGGACTTGCTGCACAGCGCGCATTTATGGAGCTTCATGCCTGTTGAACGAGGGTGAGTCAGGGAGGGTGCACCGCCCCGGAATAAAATTTCAGTCTCCGTACCAGCACCTGTGGGCTTGGCCTAGCCCCTATACACTCATCTCCCATCTCCTCCTAGTCACTCACTCACTCTCCTCCATGCACTAGGCAGGATCCTGCCCCAGGGCCTTTGCACTTGCCATTTCCTCTGCCTGTAACAGTCTGCTCAATCCCTATGCCATGGTGAACTTTGCAGATCACCTCATCGCTCTCCTGCAATGACCTGAGCAGCCATCTCCTCTGGGCTGACTGCCTCACCTGTGCTTCTCAAACCCTTGCCCACATGGAGCTAGAAATGTCACAAAAAGAGCAGAATGGTTGCTACTCCAAACCTCCTACTGACACGAAGTGTAGTACTGCCTGACCATCCCACTCACCACTCCTCTCTCTCCACCCACCCTTCCTTATCTCACACTGCCCCCTCCCTGGGAAGCTACCCACCCTTCAGCACTGAGCTGGGGAAGTTCCCCCATTCCAGCTCCCTTCCTTCTCTGCCCTTTCCTATGATCTCCATCCCAGAACTCTGCATCCTGTGCCACAGTGCACTTACCTGGTCACTATTTACTTTCCATCTCCCCCACTAAGTGCTGAGCTTCCCCAGGAGGGCAAGAAAAGGCTCTGCCTACCTGATATCCAGGGTACACCCTCTGCCTGCCACATGGTAGAGTCTCAAGAGTCATTCCAGGAACCAAATCAGGGTGCCACAGGTCACTCTGAAGTTAACTCAGCCTACACCCACCTGGGCCAGGCTCCTTCCATACATGCCTTCGCCCCTGTAGCCTCCGTGGGATGGGGGCTCAGAGTGGGGAGTGGCTCACCCAGCAGCACCAAGAGTGGCAACACCAAAACTCAAACCCAGGTCCTCTGTCTCCAAGCCCAGTTTTCCAACTTTCATAAGTTCCTGAATCTTTCCTATAAACCAGTGGCTCTCAAACAGTCCCCCAGGGGACTTTTGGGGATGCCTGGGGCTATTTTTGGTTGTCATGCTTTGGGAAGGATGCCACTGAGCAAGCTAGGATGCTGCTAATTGTCAAAACAGGGCATAAGATAGCCCCCGTGACAAAATTATCCAGCTCAAAATGTCAATGTGCGGAACACCAGCCCAGCTGCTCTGCAGAGCTCTGGGAAACAGGAGTGGCTGGGAGCCCCCTGCCCTACCCTGCCAAGGACTCTCCAGGCCACATGTTGGACTACACCTGAGCCACACCTCTATCACACTAGGTACCACTCCCACTGAGCTCACTCTGCTCAGGCCAGCTTCCCCCTTGCACTGGGGACTGTGACTGAGCCACCTCCGCACATCCCAAGGTCCCCAACCCAGCCCTGGCCTCCAGCCCAGAAGAGGGAAAGTCAGTTGGCTGTATTGTACCAGCCAGGCCAGTAGGGCTCATGGAATGTGTCTGTGCTTCCTCCCAGTGGGTCTACCTCAAGGAACATGACTGAGGACCCACCTGGCAGGCTGCCAAGTCTCTTACCTGAGTGGGAGAGGATATGTGCCTTCAGCTTGTCCGGCCGGTTGAACTCCTTACTGCAGCCTGTGTGTGTCCTGGAACCCAGAGTGCCAGTCAGGGGATGCTCAGCAGCCCCGGGACCCCTGCCTGGTCCCTCTAATAGCCCTTGTCACCAAAGGGAGGAGGGTGGGGAGTAAAGCAGGCAGGGGCCATGCCAGGCTAGAAAAAGGCCTTTGCCCTCAAGCTGTCCAGCCCTCCCTGGCAGCCACTCGGGAGATGTGACCGAACCCCGGCAGCATGGCATGCCCCACTCACGAGAAGGGACACTTGTACTTCTTGAAGGGCTCGTGGATCAGCATATGTCTCTTGAGCTTGTCCTTGCGGTTGAACGCAGACTCGCACACGGAGCATTTGTAGGGCTTCTCACCTGCAGAGACAGGGCAAGAGACAGTCCCAGATGAAGGGGTCCCAGGTTTGGGGCACAGTTCCTCCTCCTCTTTTTATCTCTCCAGTCTTTGTTTGAACAGGGAGAAAAGGCTTCTGTTTGTTTGTTTTTGTTTTAGACACTCTCACTATACGGTAGCCCAGGCTTGCCTTAACCTCAAGATCCTGACTCTGCCTCTGAGTGCTGGGATTACAAGTGTGCACACCAAAGCTGACTTTTCTTTTGTGTGTGTTGTTGGGGATTGAGCCGAGCGTTTTACACATAAAGGCAAGTGCTCTACCACTGAGATTTACCCCAAAACCGTGGCTTATTTTTTAAGAGACAAAGGATCACTGTGTTGCCCAGGCTGATCTTGAACTCCTAGGCTCAGTGTTCCTCCTGCTTCAGCCTCCTGAGAAGCTGGGATTACAGGTGTGTATCACCACACCCAGCTAGCAGTTATTTTAAAAGCTAAAATTGAACTGGACAAAATAGAAAATATCATTTTGTGAAACTTTTGTTTTAATATGTTCTATGTGTATATATGTATTTCCTGGTTATAATATAAAATGTATTTAACTTTCAAAAGAATTGAAAACCCTGGACTGTCCACCTGAGGAGAAAGTTTTATTTTCATTATAGGTGCTTTTGAACTGCCAAAGACCTTTTTCTCTGGTTTTCTCAATCTTTAGATCCTTTTCTTTTCTTTGGTGGGACAGGGGTTTGAACTTGCAAAGCAGGCACTTGAGTCACACCTCTAATTCATTTTACTCTGGTTATTTTGGAGATGGGGTCTTGCGAACTATTTGCCCAGGCTGGCTTTGAACTGTGAGCCTCCTGATCTCAGTCTCCCAAGTAGCTAGGATTATAGGCATGAGCCACCATTAGCCAACTAGAGCCTCTTTAATTAAAAAAAAAAAAACAAACAGTTAATTAAAAAAATTTCTTTTGTGGTTCTGGGTATAAAACCCAGGGCCTGAGCCTCTGATACAAGATGGCGCCGCGGGAATCTGTACCCCTTCCTGTCTGAGGGAACACCAAGTGACCGTCTACCGCAGTGTTCCAGCTCCGTGTCGTTCCTCCGGAAAGCAGAGGCTGAGCCCCGGCGGGTGCGATGGCCGCGGTGGTGGCCAAGCGAGAGGGGCCGCCGTTCATCAGCGAGGCAGCTGTGCGAGGCAACGCCGCGGTCCTGGATTACTGCCGGACCTCAGTGTCAGCGCTGTCGGGGCCACGGCCGGCATCCTCGGCCTTACCGGCCTCTACGGCTTCATCTTCTACCTGCTTGCCTCCATCCTGCTCTCCCTGCTCCTAATTCTCAAGGCGGGAAGGAGGTGGAACAAATACTTTAAGTCACGAAGACCTCTCTTTACCGGAGGGCAAGGGTGACTTTTAAAAAACGAATTGGGACGACTGTTGCCACAAGTTAACGCCGTGTAGACTTACTTAAGTTTTCAAATTGTTGAATTCGCTGCTTGTTCTGTAACGTTATAAATAATTTATATCTGAAGACAGAGAGCCTGTAATATTCTTCAGATTAAATGAAGTGTGAGATACTTTGTGGAGTTCTTTCCTGCCTTAGTGCATGGTCTGCCATGGGTGCACAATCGCTAAGATTTGTCTCCTGGAGAGCATACTTTAGGTCATGGTCTGTAATTGCCCTGCATTTGCAAGTAGGAGGTCCCAGGAGGGGCCACTAGGGATTAAAAGAAAGCATTTACTGTTAACATACTAATAAAAACTAGTACTTACTAAGTGTTCCCTACACACCAGGCATTGTGCCTTGTACTTTTTACACCAGTTATTTCGTTTAATTCTAACAACTATGGAGATGTTAACTATTAACCCTCTGTTGACAAGGAACCTGAGGCTCAAGTTAAATACCTCTGCCAGAAGAGGCTCAGCTGAGAAGAGACAGAGCTAGGATCCAAATGCAGATCTCTTACTTTGCTCTTGCTGTATTGGCTGAGCCCACCATTTCCTCCCACTAACCATCACTTCCAAGCATGAATGGAGTTATTTTAGTTCCATTTCACCTGGTCACAGCTAGTTGTCTTTCTCATAAGGAAATGTAAATTCAAACTGTGTTTTCAGAATATGTCTTGTGAAGATTAAATAGATTGGACATTTGGAAATGTCTCTGCATATATGTTAATCCATGATCCTTTTTTGTCAGGAGGGTTATCTTAAATATGTATGTTCAATTGAGAAATATATATAGTGAATGTCATTCATGAAATATAGTATAAAAAAAATAATAATAAATAAATAAATAAATAAAACCCAGGGCCTGGTACATGCTAGGCCAGTGCTCTACCACTAACCTACACCCCCAGGCAAATATCTCAACTAATTTAAAAAAATTTTAAAGACTAAAAGAAAATAAAATATCAATATATCTCAACTAGGGAACCAAGGAAAGGGGGTTTTATTCAGGACTGGGTGGAAATTTCACAGTAAAAGCAGTGCCCTATCCACCGGGGCTCTGAGCAATCTGAGGGGCAGAGTCAGGAGTCCCCCTACCAGCCTCTGGGGTTTCATCACTGCTCTCATGTTAATGGGAACAACTTGTTCACGGGTGAGGACAGGTGAGAGAGACCAGGAAGGAGAGACACAAAGTGGGGTGGAAGGGAGAAGAGGTGGTGGAGATGGGACTGGATGGGGCTAGAGGGCACTGGAGAGAACAGTTGGATGGGGAGGGGAAGAGGGACAGGCAGAAATAAGAAGAGGCTGAGGGGTGGGCAGAGGAGGGGGCGGCCCCACCTGAGTGGATGTGTGCGTGCAGTTTGAGGTAGTGCTCCCGCCGGAAGAACTTCTTGCACACCTGGCACTTGAATCTGCCTCCACTGCCATGGGTGGGCAAGTGACGCCTCAGGTAGCGTTCACATGGAAATACCTAGAGAACAAAGAGTTGCCTTATGTCTGCCTCACCAGGCCTCCCTTCCCTTACCACCTTCTGAGTTCAGGGCCCCATTTCCAGCCCCTTGGGAATATCTTTCTTTCTGTCCTTGGAGGCCAGGACCGACAGGTCAGATCCAGCCCTCAGAACCTCATGGCTTTCCTATGCACCTGTGAGCCCAGCCAAAGCACATCCACTGTGAGTTCTTGCAAAGCTGGTCTTTCCACCTAGAGGGCTTCCTTTCTGAGTCTCAGGAACTCCTATCAATGCTGACTTCAAGACCAACTCAGGAGTCACTGCCTCTGTGAAGCTTTCCCTGACTCCTGTGCCATGGTAGACGAAGCAAATTCTGCCTTTGGATGATCACCCACATTTTGAAGTCAGCATCTAACCCACTGAACTACAGCACTCTGCTTACACAGGAACCTGAAGAAGGCAGAAGGGAGCTGTCATTCCCCCAGCCCAGGGCCGGGGTCAAATGACAGATGAGTAAAGAGACGAATTTTACTTATTTATTTACTTATTTTTGTGGTGCTGTTAACTCAGGGCCTACACCTTGAGCCACTCCACCAGCCCTTTTTTGTGATTGGTTTTTTCAAGACAGGGTCTCTCGTCAACTATTTTACTGGGGCTGGCTTCGAACCACGATCCTCCTGTCTCTGCCTCCTGAGTAGCTAGGATTATAGGTGTGGGGATGGATTTTAAAAGGAACAAATAACTAGATAAATGAATGGGAGGGAATGAACAGCCAGCAAACACAGGCGCCCAAATCTCTTTCTAGCACAGCCATCTACCCATTCATTTTCTCAGTCACTTGGTCCAGGGCACAGACACAACCGTCCCTCTCCTTATCGGCTCCATCATTTCCCAGCTAAGTGACCCTTCTGTGTCTTGTCCCCACCTGTAAAACAGAAGCAGTAACAGGATACCTGCCCATCCTGTGGGGCTCCCTGAGCCAGGTCAGGCAAAATGCTCAGAATAGCACTTAGCATGTGCTTCTTGCTGAACCCATGATACGTTTAAATTCCAAAGCCCAAAATTAGGCTACATATTAGAAACATCTAGAACGAGGTCAAAGTAAACCCAGGGCTGTCCTGGAAAATTTGCTATATAAGGTTGTTAGAAAATGAGTAGTAGGAGGAAACAAGTTAAACACACCAGGAGAAGCAGTCACCAAAATCCAGACTGCAGGAAGCACCACAGGACCACTGACCCAGTTTCTTCCACAGATAAAGGAAAAAAAAAAAAAAAAATAGGAGCAAGGGGGTGGGGGAACGGGTGACAAACGCACACCTATTGATCAGTAGAAACTTAGTTAAAAGCAATTAGAGAAACGTGAACCTGACTCAAACTTTCCAGCAAGGACATTAGGGACAGGATGCAGGGGACCTTCAGAGTCTCTGAGGAGTCCGTAACAACAAGGATAATGAACGCCTCAAGGTCAGCATGGTTGGAGGCGGTGGAGGAGGAAGGGCTCGGTGCTCACCCACCTTCTGGCAATGTGGGCAGGGGAAGTTGTGTGTGGCCGTCTGCAGATGGTGCTCCAGGGCCTCAGGAGTGGAGTATTTGTTGACGCATTTGACACACCTAGGCGGAAAGGAAGTGGACAGCTGAGAGAGGACACCCAGCAGACGTGTGGACCAATGGCAGGAGGTGAAATGCTACATGTCATTTATTCTCTGTCCTATCCACTCTTATTGCTTGCTTCTGCCTCCAGACCAAGTGCTGTGGTGTCTTGCTCAGACAAGTGCAGTAGCCGCCTCCCTGTCCCAACCCTGTGCCCTGTAGTCTATTCTCCCCAGGGCAGCCAGAGGTAGCCTTTAAAAATGAAAACCAGGGCTGGGGTTGTGTAGCTCAGTGGCAGAGTGCGGGCTTAGCATGCATGAGACCCTGGTTCAATTCTTGATGTGTCTGGAACATACTAGGCTGATTCATACCTCAGGGCCTTTGCACTTGCTGTTGCTGTTATCTAGAACACTCTTCCCCAGGTCTTCCCCTGGGTAGCATCTTCTCATCCTTCATGTCTCAGACAGGCCCTCCGTGGTGACCCTGTCTCAAGGTGCCCTCCAGAATCCACCCCAGTCACTCTGTTATGTCACCCACCTAATTTTCCTCTTAGCACTATTATGTGGGTTTATTTCTTTTCTTCCTTGGTTACTGTCTGTCTCCTCCATTAGCAAGTGGGCACTGCCACAGGGACCTCTATTTCCTATTCACAGTTTGCTCAGAGCACCAATGAGAACTTGTCACATGAAAGAGTCACAAAGACAGGGATCCCAGCCCAGCTCCTTCTTTCCTGCCTCTGACACTTGGTTTCCTCACCTACAACATGGGGCAGCAATGGCCCTGCTTCTTGTCCATACTTTCGACTGTCAGAGTCAAAGGACACAACTGTGCCAAGCAGCTCATAAAGTGCCAAGTGGCAAAACAATCTATGCTGTCAACACCTGAAAACACCACCTTGCTGGGGTGTAGCTTGGTGGCACAGTGCTTGCCTACTAAGTGTGAGGCCTTGGGTTCAAACCCCAGCACAGAAAATAAAAAGGAATCCCAAACCAAGAAAAAGTCACAGCACTCTGAGGCCACAAATCACTCTGAAGGACTAAAAGAGGCCACATTTCCGCACCCCCCCCAAGAAACAAACAACATCTGCCAGCCAATGCATCCCTTTACAATAACACCAGTGAGTAAGGCTACAGCTGGGGGGCAAATCTCACCAGAAACAAAAGCAGGGCTGATGGAGTGGCTCCCTGGTACAGCACCTGCCTAGCAAGTGTAAGACCCTAAGTTTAAATCCCAGCACCACCAAAACTAAATAAATAAATAACAACAACAACAAAACAGAAGCAGGGGCCAGGGGCTCTCACCAGTGCCACCTTGCTCAGAACCCCAGGTAGAGATACCTACGGTGGATCCATGGAAGCTCTGAGCCTACTGAAAACCACACAAAAAGGGCTCTCAGCCAGCAGGAGAGGAAGAGGAAGGGGTTGGTGAGTTGGGAGTATAGGCTTCATGGGCTCAGAGAAGGAAACAGGTTTATATGGGTCAAAGTTTAGCAACTTTGAAGGTGGCTGCCAGAAATGCCACCTTCACCAAGTCATGCAAGGTAACATCAGCAGTAATGCAGCAAATCAGAGTCATGGGCCCTGAGATGATGCACAGGGAAGGACATGTTGTCACTTGGGATGTTCTGCCAAACAGCACATCCAGGAAGTCACTGCAAGGCGAAGTTAGGCAAGCTCAAACAAGGACATTCAACAAAATAACTGCTCTATGCTCTGGAGAAACATCAAGATCAAACTGGCATGGTGGTGCCCGCCTTGAATAGCAGTACTTGGGAGGCTGATGCAGGGCAGCCTGGGCTGTGTAGCAACACTGTCTCGAAAAAAGGAAAAAAGAAATCCAAGGTCAGAATGGGGTGTAGCTCAGTGGGAGAGGGTTTACCTCACATATACAAGGCCCTGGCTTCAATTACCAGAACCACCAAAAATAAAAAAAAAAATCAAAGTCATGAAAGGCAAAGACAGAATGAAGACCTGTCCCAACTTCCAGGAGGCCAAAGAGGCATGACAACTGAATGTGACCGTGATCTTGGGTTGGACTCTGTACCAGGAAAAAAACCTTTTCTTTCTCTATAAAGGATGTTATTGGAACAACTAGAAAACTTTGAATAAGGTCTGTAGATTAGTGCCCTGTACTGATGTTAACTCCCTGATGTTGATAATTACACTGCTTCAGGGAAGGCTCACAAAGGTCAAGGGTGAAGGGGCATCAGGCCTGCACATTACTCTCAAACACTTCAGAATGGGACAAAGCAAACGTCAGGAGATCTGGGTGACAACGGTCTAAACGAATTCTCTGTGCTACTCTTGTAGCTTTTCTGGACATCTGAAATTATGCCAAAATAAAGAGAGCTAAAAGACCATCCCCTCATCCCCAAAGTGCTGGGGATTCAATCCAGGGTCTTGAGCATGCAAAGCTAGAAAGAGCATTTTTGAATGTGACCACCTGTGATACAGGGAAATGGGTGAGGATGGAGAAGGAAGTTCACTCACTGTGTTTCTAATATTGCACTATATATACATAGAAATTATTTGTTTCAAGTAGGTAATTGATCACTTTTAGAACTTCCTGGGATCTGTGACCTGCAAATTGCTTGTAGAAACTTACAAAGAAGCAAACATATATGTCCAGCTGGTGGAGTGGCTCAAGCAGTAACAGCTCCTGTCTAGCAAGCGTGAGGCCCTGAGTTCAAATCCCAGTACCAGTGCCGCAAAAAAAAAAAGACATGTCTCAAACTGCTCCCTGTAGCATATAATAATGACAAGGTGGCAATAACCCTATTATCCAGCAATGAGGGATGATTTAAATAAACCACAGCAATCCCTGGACAATAGGAGCTGCTTAAAAGAATGAGGCAAGCCAGGTACCAGCAGCTCAACGCCTGTAATCCCGGTTATTTGGAAGGCTGAAATCAGAAGGACTGAGGTTGGAAGCCAGCCCAGGCAAATAGTTTGGGAGACCCTATCTCCAAAATAACCACAGCAAAATGGACTGCAGGTGTGGCTCAAGTGGTAGAGTGCCTGCTTTGCAAGCATGAAGCCTTGAGTTCAAATTTCAGTACCACCAAAAAAAAAAAAGAAAATGAAAATGAGGCAGGTATGTGTGGGGGAACCAGTGGGAGGGGGAGGGTGCATGTGAATATGACAGAAGTACATTATACATATATACATATGTGTGTGTATATATACATATATGTGTATATATACATACATAGTAACATAATGAAACCCACTAAAAACTGTTCAAAAGGAGGGGGAAGAAAACAAGGGGGTTAAGAAAGAGTACTATATAGATGGAATGAATTTGATCAAAGTACATTTTATGCAAGTATGTAAATATAATGAAACCCCTTGTACAATTAATTTATGCTAATAATTTTTTTTTTTTTTTGGCAGAACTAGGGTTTGAACTCAGGGACTCATGCTTGCAAGGCAGGTGCTCTTACAGCTTGAGACACTCTGCCAGCCCTTTTCTGTGATGGGTTTTTTTTTTTGAGATACAGTTTCTCAAACTATTTGCCTAGGCTGGCTTCGAACCTTAATCCTTCTGATCTCTGCCTCCTGAGTAGCTAGGATTATAGATGGGGGCCACTGGCACCCGACTGCTAATAATTTTTTTTTTTTAAAGAATGAAGCAGGTCTGTTTTTGTTGAAATGCAAAGATTTCTGTATTATAATCTCAAGCATAAAAGCTTTAAATAACACTAGGGAGGAGGATGGATAAAGGAAGGCTGGATTGGATTAGTACACGCTGTATGCATGTGTCGAAATATCACACTGAACCTCATCAATATGTAAAATTAATATACATTAATCAAAAATATTCAACAATTATATAAAGATGGGATCTCACTAAATTGCCTCCTGGACTTATGGGATGCCTGTCTCAGCCTCCCAAGTAGCTGAGACTACAGGCATGTGACACCACACTCAACTTTTAAAATATATCTGTAAATCAGACCACATCACCTGTAAGAGGGATCCCACCAAGTTTCAGTTTGTCTGTCAGAAGCTGAGCAATAGGAAGACAGAATGATGAATTTTCACCAAATTCCATGATTGCTTTTGGGATCACCTGACTCAAATAGTTTGATATTTATATCTGTGTCCATGATTATAAACACATAGTTAGAGATATATACCAAGAGTGGTTACCTCTGGGTGACAGGACTTTTGCTCTTTTTATTTGTTTTTTTTTGTCTATATGAGTAGGTTCCTTAAAAAATCCTTTTTGTGGGCTGAGACCATGGCTCAAATAGTAGAGCGCCTGCCTAGCAAGTATGAGGCCCTGAGTTCAAATCCCAGCACCACCAAAAAAAAAAAAATCCAATAGGATAGGTTCTGTCATGATCCCCATTTCACAGATAGGGAAACTTAGGCCCATGTTAGCTAAACACTTTACCCAGGGGCATGCATTGGACTTGGAATTTGAGCAGAGCAGTAGCTCCAGAGCCCTTATCATCACTTGTGGCACCATTTCACCCCTGGGCTGTCCAGATGGTGGCTGCCTCCTTGGCCTTACTTCAGGGCCAGGGAGGCAGCATTTTATCAGAATGTATGGGCAGCATTTGTTCCCTGAGTAATGCGTGCATTCTCCACTCGAGGCTGGCACTCACTTATCTCTAGACCCCAGAAGCCTCACCCCGGAGTTACTGGTGTATCTGAGGTCACCAGCAAGTCCCCAAAGATATGAAGTTGTCCCAGGAAGCAAAACCATGCTAACAGCCGGGCACTGGTGGCTCATGCCTGTAATCCTAGCTACTCAGGAGGCAGAGATCAGGAGGACTTTGGTTCGAAGTCAGTCCGGCAAATAGAAGTTCATGAGACCCCATCTCAAAAAAACCCATCACACACGCAAAAAAAAAAAAAATAGGGCTGCTGGAGTGGCTCAAGGTGTAGGCCTAGTTCAAACTCCAATACTGCAAAAAAAAAAAAAAAAAAAAAGCCATGCTAAACATGAAAACATTCACAAATGCAGTGGAAGGAGTCCGGAACAGACACTCTCTCCCTCTCTCCACTGCCCCATCCCTACATCAGGTTGTGGGAAGCACCTGCTCCAACCCCCAGGAGCCAATGAATATTGCTGGGCACAAATGTGAGATTTCATGAAGTCAGGTGGGGGCACCTGACTTCATGAGGCCTTCCCATGACTCCATGGGAAGATACCTTCACCACAGAGTTCTGCCTCAGACCCAGCTCTCCCTTTTAAAGAGTTTCTCAACTTTTCAAATGTATGCCAAAGTGAAGAATGACCTAAGACGAGCCAGCACCTTCTCCCCACCCACGCCAATGCCCAGGCTGGACCCCAGCCTGGAGCCCCATTTCTCCTCCGAGCTGTCTGTCTGGTGCTGAGTAGCAGAGCCACCCAGGCCCATGAGACACGTACTTGTAGACGGCGCTGTCCTTCTTGGGACTGTGCTGTGGCAGGAAGCTGTGTGAGTACTGGTGCACACCCAGGTCGTACAGCGAGGGGAAGTCCTTTCCACACAAGTGACAGCGGTAGCTCAGCTCCTCCTGGTGGCTCTTGATATGCTCCAGAAATGCATCGAGCTTGGGGAAGGTCTGAGCACAACTTTTCACCACACACTTGTATACCTGCAGGGGAGATGCCGGAGGTGAGGGGATGGAAGATGTGGATACCACCATGGACGCTGCCATAGACAGCTGGCCTGTGGTTCCCCTGCTCCCTGCTGCTGGAGCCCTGGTTTCCTTTGATTAGAGGGTTGCTTCTCTCAGCCAGTTACACTTCCCTTGGGCTCTGTGAAGCCTAGGTATGTGCAGAAAAATTACCCAAGACCTGGAGCACAGTGAAGGGATGATGCTGTATCCTTACAATGTCACACTGGAGTAACCAACAGAGTCCCCAGTTGCCGGATCCCCGAGGGTATGGGATTCAGCAGGTCCAGGTGGCCCGACACTGTGCACTTCTAACAGGGCATGATCAGGAGCTGATGCTGCCAGTCCAGGGACCACTCTTTGAGAGCCACCATCCAACCGGCCTGTCCTGACTCTCTGGGGCGTGGGTTAGTTCTCACTCTTTACTTTTGATTTGAGAGACACAGTCACTCAAATTAAACGTTAACTTGCAAAAATCTGATCTCGTGTAACCGTGCCCCCCCCCACACTAGGCAAGCGTTCTATCGCTGAGCCACAACCCAGCACTGATGTAACTGGTTTTTGTCAGGTAGAGGAGATAACCCCAAAGGTCACAGATTTCCTGGCCCTGCAGGAAATTAACAAGATTTTCATCTAACTTAGCAGTCTCATTTCGGGAACAGTCACCCACAGGCACAGATATCTGGGTCTGGGTCTCATGTCCTCTTCTTAAAGTCTTTGTCATCTTTCTGGCTCCCTCATTTGTGAGTTGAATGAAATTCTAACTTGTGTTTAGTATCATTTCTATGAGAAATATGTTTTTTAACATTTTGAAAAAAAATTTTTTTTTGCAATACTGAGGTTTGAGCTCAGGGTCTTGTGCTTGCTAGGCAGGATCTCTACCACTTGAGTCACTCCCCCAGCCCAACATTTTAAAATTTTTACTTTGATAAATTAGTACATACTCATCAGGAGCCTATGCCATACCACACGCTCTTCCTTCCTAATAAAGTAAACCCCGAAGCCAGGCACCAGTGACTCACACTTTTAATCCTAGATACTCAGGAGGCAGAGATCTAGAGGATCGAGTTTCAAAGCCAGCCTGTGCAAATAGTTCAGGGGACCCTATCTCAAAAAAAAACCCCATCACAACAAAGGGCTGGTGGGTAGCTAAAGGTATAGGCCCTGAGTTCAAACCCCAGTACTGCAAAAAAAAAAAAAAAAAGTGAACCCCAATTTGCTCAGGATGACGACTTGTCTAGTTAAAACACTCCGTCCACCCCGGTTCCCTTGCACCCAGTGTCAGCCATGTACTCCTTTCTCGTCAACGGTAAGTAGGTAGTAGTCCTTTGGGGATAGACAGCATCTTTCCCAAAATGAAAAGGCAAAGCTTCCTAAGAGAAATCTCCTCTACTTCTTGCATTTGTCCTGCTGGGAATACAGATGTGATAGATGGAAATATAGCAGCTGTTCTGTACCTACTCACCTACCTGCTCGTTCTTGTGCTGGGTCATGTGTGACTTGAGCTGGAAGTAGGTGCTGAACTTGCTGGGACAGAACTGGCACAGGTAGGAGCTATCAATGAGGACCACCTGCTTGGGCTCTAGCTTGTCTCCCTCGTCCTCACCTGCCTGGGGCAAGGCCTGTGGCTGTGGCGCACTTGGCAGGGTCTGTCCCAACCCTATGGAGAAAGACAGAGAACGAAGTCAGTGAGAGAGTCAGGACAAGGAACCATGCCATTCAAGAGGGATTCACAGGACACTTACTGCACGTTTCTCTGTGTCACCCACCACCTACCACACGCCTGGTGGCGAACACAGTACTCAACCAGCAGGAGTGTTCGGGTACAGCCAGGAGGTAAAATACAGAAACACAGTCTGCTCAGAAACAGCTAGGGCCTCCCACTCCCCTCCCTGGCTCCCCTCCATGCCTTCCCCTTGGACACCATAGACCTCTTTGTGGTTGTTGCAAACCGAACACTAGCTCTGTTCCCGACACCTCCACAGGCCCTCATTCTAGTTACAACCATTTGCTCCACTGTCCTTCCCTCACTAGACTGTTCCTCCTTTTCCCTGATGTTGGGGATCTCTGGCCTCATCTCTGCAGCCCATGGCCAGGCACATTGCACGCCTCCATGAACGTGTGCCCAATGACTGGCCTTTGGTACCAGGAGCTGTGGGAGTCTGGAAAGCAATTGGGAGAGACGGTCCCCTCCCTAAGGAGCTCAGAAGAACACAGGGCATGTGGAGGCCCAGGTCTAACAGGAAGCACTGGTCAGATAAAAGTGGTCCCACGAAAGACCCCTTCAGAAGTAGCTGGTGCGTGGCTGGTGTTGCTCACCCCTGGTGCTGTGTAGAAAGGGCTTAAGCTCGGCTCTATACTGTCCAATACAGTGACCACAAGCCCTATGTGGAAACTGAAAGGTTGAAATGTGGCCAGTCCAGAGCCAGACGCACTGTCGAGGTACATACACACTGAGTTTCAATATGGCTGCAGCATGGCTCAGTAGGAGAAACCTTGCCTGGTATGTGCAAAGCCCCGGGTTCAATCCCAGTACTGCACAGAAAAACAAAACAAACACCTCAATATCTCTATATTGCATGCTAAAATGATAGTACATTGGGTTTAATAAAATCTATCGTTAAAATTAATTTCAACTACAGTAACTGCCTGGAGCAATGTACAGAAGATAGATTCTGAGGGAGGATCCAGGCTCAGCAAGGAAAAAAAATTAATTAATTAGTGATGTCTACATGGATACAGTATTACATATGTCATATATTATATAATATTTATAATTAATTGTTACAAATATTTATGTTATAAATATAGTTAGAAGTTTATAAATTATATAATTTTTTTCATCCTATGCACCCCCCTTTACGAGACAGGGTCTCAACTATGTAGCCCAGGCTAACCTCATATGCGAGACTCTCCTGCCTCAGCCTTCTGAGTGCTGAGATTACAGGTGTGTGTCACCATACCTAGCTCTCTATGCCTCATTTCATAGATAAAATAGATTGAAGCCCAGAGAGGTCAAGGAGGTTACCCAAGGTCAGCCAGCCAACAACACAACCTTATGAAGCTGGGGCTGGGGATGGCTCAGTGGTAGAACATGTGCCTAACAGGAACAAGGGCCTGGGTTCCATCCCCAGCTCTGCAACACACAAATCAACATCCTATGAAGCTGTAGAGATGTGTAGGGAGAGTGGCTTTCCCACTTCTACCCACCTGTGTTCTCGTCCTCTTGCCTGCTGGGGTTCAAAGCCATGACTTGTACAGTCACAGAGTTCCGGGAAACAGTACTTCCACTGCGCCCTGGGGGCCACACCTTGTGCGTCTGCATGTGCTTCTTCACGTTAGACTTCTGGGCAAAGGCCCGGCCACACGCAATGCACTGGAAGGGCTTCTCCCCAGTGTGGCTGTGGGGACAAGGCTAGTGAGCACTCTCACATAGGGACCCAGCTTCCACCCAGGAGCTCACAGCCACCAGGAAGGCCCAGAGATGCTGCTGGCCCCCTCTGACCACACGGGCCACATTCTCCCTCCAGGGCAGGCAGACCAGAGATGGAAGCCCTGGGCTCTTGGTCACATCATTGTGCTGCTTAAGTGACCAAGCCAGAAGCTGACCTTCACCATGGTCACCACACACACTTCCTAATGGTTGGACCCATTCAGATGGAGCCCTAAAGGAGCCCTAGCTGCCATAACACAGCACTTGTGCCATTGTTTAACTTTTTCTTCAATTTGAGACAGTGTCACATTATGTAGACCAGGCTGGCCTTAAACTCTGGATCCTCCTGCCTCAGCATCCAGAGTGCTGGGATTACAAATGTGAACCACCACTCCCAACTAATCAACTTACTTTTTTAAAACTTAAAATAATTTTGAAGTGAAGCTTCCTGTTGTCATTGGATATGAAAAACCACTTGTCATAACCCCCAAAGAACATAAAACATTGTTACTAAGAGCCAGAGCTGCACTGTCCTATAAGGTAGATACCAGCCACCTGTGACTATTTAAATGTAAAATTATTAAAATTAAAAATTCAGTTTACACATGTAAATAAATGTTAAAACAATAAAATGCAATGAGAATTTTTTTAAAAAGACAAAAAAAAAAAAAATTCAGTTTAACAGCCGCACTAGCCACTCTAGCCACACTGAGTTAGCAGCAACCATGCTGGGCAGGCACCAATTTGAGCATTTCCACCTTTATGGAAAGTCCTATTGCATAGCACTAGTGTGGACTTATGGTTCTCAAATGAGGTAAATTTTGCCCTGCAGGGGATGCTCAGCAATGTTCAGAGACATCTGGGGCTGTCACAGCTGGGGGTGCAGTGTTAATAGCCTCTAATGGTCAGAGGTCAAAGCACAGGTCAGCCCTCCACCATAAAGAATGGTGTGACCCCAAATTCCAAGTGTCAGTAGTGCCAAGGTTGGAAAATCCTGGTCTGAAAAGAAGCTGTTTGCTGTGGTGGTTGGAATTTGAGGCTGGCTGGCTCTCTCTCTCTCTCTCTCTCTCTCTCTCTCTCTCTCTCTTTCTGAGATGAGCAAGTAAGTGAGTGGTGTTAAAAGCAGATTATCGCCAAACTGGATTTTTCTCCAGGACTGAAACTTTCAAGGGAATAATCTTTCACTGTGTCTTTCAGAACTTCCCATCACCATAGACATAAACCACCTAAAATCATCCCATGTACCAACATATCTCCCTGCGAGGAGCACTGGACAAGTCCACCCCTCCATTTCACAGATGGAAACACTGAGGCCAGGTAGGCTCAGAATAAGACGTATGTTCCCAGGACAAGAGGTACCTGGTTAGACCTGAATGGGCCAAGAGCTCCTGGAGCTATGCTGGCAGGGCAGGCAGCCTGAGGCCAGCCCTTCTGCAGAGAGATGACCGAGGCAGCCTCATGTGTCTGTAAAGCCCCTCTGAGCCCCCCACCACTACCACAGATCCTCTAACCTCCCCTGTCATGGTGGGCAGGCCCCTTCCCCTGCTCCTGAGAGAAAAGAGGGAAACCAGCCCAACCTAAACAGCAGGCCTGCAGACCATGATGGGACAGACATGCTGGGGCTGAGAAGGGAGCCTGGTTTCCACTCTGGCGGCCCTCAGCCAGAGCTGCCCAGGAGCCGCTGGCCCTGTGCCCACCGCCCCCTACCTTCGGACATGCTGCTGCAGGTCGAAGTTCTTGGTGAAAGCCTTGTCACAGTAGGAGCACTTGAGTTTCTGGGTCTTTGGCTTCCCTGCAGCACAACAAAGCAGAGGAGGGGACGGTGAGGCTGGGGGCCCAGCTGAAGGGAGCCAAGGGCAGCCTCCAGCCACACCACTCTCTGACCGGGGGCCACACAGCCCACAGTCATGTAAGTCTACAGCTGCACATGGGCAAGGCAAGCAGCACAGGTGAGCTTCTCATAGGCCCAGGAGAAAAACTCAGGACACTCATCACTTCCTTCATCCTACTGTGGAGGACTCCTTGCTAACCTTGAAAGACATCAAGCATGGGCCTACCTCAGGGCCTCTGCACCTGCTGGTCCCCCCTTGTCTGGAATGCTCGTCCCTTTCTTCTCCCCAGATGGCTAGGTAGCTTATTCTCCAGTCTCTCCCAGGTTATTCTCAGTCACAATGCCTGTGAATCTTTCCCAGGGCAACCGTAAGTATTTATTCTCTGTCTCTCCCATTAAACTGGGAGGAACTGTTGGGAGAAGACCATGGACTGAGGCAGGACACTCCCTGTGCCTGACAAGGAGCCTGCCACACAGATGTCAATACACATTTGTGGAAGGAAGGAAAAGAGGAAATAATTGACTAGAAAGCCCCTATAAATTCTCAATTTCCTCCCTTCTACCTACCCCATATTTAGCATCTCCTGGCATATTTGCCTGACTGATGGCCACTCTTTCTTTCACAAATTCCCGACATAATGAGAACATCAATGTCCCTGACTAAGACATTTCCAGCTTCCTTTGCAGCTCGGTAGGGCCATGTGACTAAGAGATGCAAGCAAAAGTCTCATAGAGAACTTCTGGAAGCTGGGAGGTATCTTTTTACCCTTCCCTTCTTCCTCCTTACTGTCTGGAATATGAAATTAATGACTGGAACTTCAGCAGCCATCTTAGATGATGAGGCACCCTGATAAATGAAGTCATGTTCTAGGGATAGAGGAACAGAAAGACAAAAGAAACATGGTTGCCAGGTGACCATGTCACACAATCCCCAGATTGTCTGCTTCTGGTCTTGTTCTACGCAGGAGAGAAACAAAATTCTATCAGTTTGAAGTCACTGTTATTTCAAACTTCCCATACATGCAACCAAACTTAATCCTAACCACCATAAAAGGGAAAACCAGAACCAAGCAGCCTGTGGGTAGGTCAAGCTGAGGAAAGATGCCCATGGCGGGCACAGGGCCCACCTTCTGGGAGTCCACCAGCACCTTTAGCCCGTCGTGTCTTCAGCGTGGGTGGAGAATCAAAGGTGGTCACTGTGCCCCCAGTGGTGCTGGTCATGGGGGGAGTGGGGTTTGGTCCTTTCTGTTTGAACCCCTGTTTGCCAGGGCTGTATACCGGGGGTGTAGGGTACACTGGAGCTTCCACACACTGGTTTGGCACCTAGAAGGACAGCACTGTGAGGAAAAGAGCCTGGAATGGCTCATCCACTGCCTGCATCTCACCATCCAAATCCCACAACTGGCTCAAGTCACCTTAAGACCCCTTAAAATTTCATGAAGCTGAAGGCCAGACACACCTTTGAGCCAGGCTGGCTGGATTCAAATCCAGCCTCTGCCACAGACCACTTGGGCTTCAGTGCCTGCCTCAGTTTCCATATCTGCAAAATGGGGCTGATCACAGCATGCCTCGTAAGGTTCTTGAGAAGAAACATGCAGCAAGCCTAGAGCAAGTGGTGGCAGACGGTGAACCTCAATAAACACAAGCTGCTGTTGTTTCTGCTATTAACGGCAGCTTATTAGTGTAAGAGAACCAAGGGGGCAGAACAGTGAGTGTCCTCAAGCTATTCCACTTCCGCCACAGCAGGCTCCCTTCAACTGAGAGCTGATAGCTAAGCCATGAGACACAGCTGAGCAAATTCTGAGACATCCCGACTTACTCAACTTACTTAAACCCATAGCAGGGGGCAGCGCTCATTTGTCCAATTTCACTGAGCCTCCAGGCTCTTCTATCCAAGATTTCCCTTTCAGACCTTCCCTGCTTTATTTTGCTCCGTAGGCTAATCATGGACAGCGATGTGTTGTTACCTATTTATCTTGTCTACCATCTGCTTAGCTCCAAGGGGGCAGAGATTTTGTCTCCTGCTGACGACTCTCTTCCTGGGCCTAGGGTAATGCCTGGCACAGGGTGGCAACAGAGATCTTCTGAATGGAAGAATTCACCGAGCTTTTAGCAGCCATCTGATACAGCATTGGTCAGTGCTTGGTCTGTTGGTGCTGGCACCTGTTTCTTGGCCTTCCCCGATCACCCCTGAAGTGCAAGGGTGGGAAGCTTGGAACCCCATTCCCGCACCAGCACGGTCAACACAGGTTAGGCTCTGCGCATGAGAAGTGTCTACACAAGATTCAGAATCCAGAAGAAAAGTAGAAACCTCCTCCAAGCCAGCTGAGCTGGGACACAGGTGGGTTTTGCAGGTCATGGGCTTTAGAGTGGCTGGCTAAATTTGACCTTCCTGATCTCCAGCCTCCAGGGCTGTTGGACAGCCAGAATATCAGCAACAGAATCATTTTCTTGACTTTGGGCGTGGCAGCAGGGCCCTGGCTCTCCAGGCTAAACATCAGTAGACCTGAAAATCAGTGGCACCCACCAACATGGCTTTTGTTCCTTCAGTCCTTCCATCAGCCTTGGAAGCACCTAACTTGCTGTATTAAATTCCTCTGCTAGAAATACCTAGAATGGTTGCTATTTCCCTGACCAATACAGATCTCAGTAATTATTTGTCACATAAGTGAATGAACCCATCACTAGAGGCTTTCCTGAGCAATCAGATGACAGCCATTGGGTTAGGCTTTCATTATCCTTGACAGCTCTGGAAGGGGAGTTCCCACTTTAGAGGAATAGAAGGTGAGGGCAAGGCACCCTGTTTAAAACACTGTGGGTGGGACCACAGCAGATGCAAAGCTAATTAGGACCCACCTCATCTACATGGCAAACAGAAACAAAAGCTCCCCAGTCTATCAGGCCACCATCATCCTCTCAGAATCCCACTGGCTTAATTTCTTTTCAATTCTCTAAATTCCTTAGGGAAGCCTGCTCTAGTCTCTCAAGCAGGTGGCATAACATCCCTGACTGGTGCTGGGAGTCTCCCACTCGCCTGGGCTCTCTTTACATACAAATATACCTGACAAAGAACACCTGTGTGGCTGGGGTCTAGCATGAGTCTGGGCCTGTGTGACCTCAGGTGCATGAGGCTGCGTCTGCCATAACTGTCCTCTCCAGCACTGAGTCTAGAAAAGTCTATGAACTCATCATCAGGGAACTGGTACACTGATTGTGCTTCACTGTTCCCTTGTCTCCACACCTTTTCAATGTGACTTTGCAGCTCTTCCCATAAAAGGGTGCCATCTATTCCCTACTCCCTGAATCTAAGCTGGCCTCGTGACCTGCTCTGACCAACAGGAGTGACACTATGTCACAACCTATGCCTCAAGAAGCCAAGAATGGCTGCTTGCACCTTTGTACCTCTATCATGTTGTGAGCACCTGCTGGAGAACGAGAGCCATGTGCTGTGAGCTTGTCCCAGCCCAGACCATCCTAGAGCAGCAAGCACCCAGCCAACCCCCAGCCACATCAGAGAGCCCAGCCAAGATCAGCAAAGGTAGCTGTACACCAGTGGCTCACACCTGTAATCCTAGCTACTCAAGAGGCAGAAATCAGGAGGATCGAAGCTGGAAGTCAGCCCGAGCAAATAGTTTCTGAGACCCTATCTCAAAAAATCCCTTCACAAAAAGGGCTTGTGGAGTGGCTCAAGGTGAAGGCCCTGAGTTCAAACCCCAGTACTGCAAAAAAAAAAAAAAAAAAACAGATCAGCAAAGGTGCCCAGATGACCACTATAATCAAGCCACGCTATCTGCTATCTGCCACTGGGATCTAATGGATAGTTTGGGGTTTTTTGTTTGTTTGTTTGTTTATTTTTGTTTTGTTTTGTTTGTTTTTTGGCAGTACTGGGGTTTGAACTCAGGGCCTCATGCCTGCTGAGGCATACCCCCAGCCCTTTTTAGCTTTAGTTATTTTCCAGGTAGGGTCTCACATTTTTGCCTGAGACCATCCTCAAACTGTGAGACAAACCTCTACTCCTCCTACCTATATTTCCTGCATAACTAGAATTACAGCTGTATGCCACCATGCCCAGTTCATGTGTCTTGCTAACTTTTTCCCCAGGCTGGCCCTCTTGATCACTACCTCCTGAGTAGCTGGGCATACCAGTACGATCCCCTATACCTGACCCCTTGTGGATATTTCTTATACAGCAACAGCTAACGGATATACCTGGCTTGTTAAATGTAAGAAACATTTATGCTGATAATTTGGGGAGTGTGCTCCCCTGACTGTTCTGACCATTACTTGAGAGCAGCTTGTATTTCTGCTCAACCTCTACCCCATCCCACCTTCTCGTGGTTTGCATTTTACATCCAGAGGTGTGATGCTTTGATTGAAGTTCTTCTTTCCAGGATGTGGGCACAGGGGTTGGGTCTGGTTTTTACTCCCGTGATTCCCCTAGCACAATGCCTGGCATACAGTTGGGTCTCAGGAGAGGCTCGGATTACCCATGATGACCAAGATCAGCTCCTCTTGTCTGCTCACCTCCAGGGGTGGGTAGGGCTGCATCCCCAGTGCCTGGATCTCCACTGTTCCACTGCCAGCAAGGGGCACAGTGGCACTATACACCTCCACCACGCCGTTCCCACCAGGGTTGGGGCGCCCAGGAGGGCCCAGGCTCTGGGGTGGGGGTGGTGGAGGCTGGGGAGGTGGGGGTGGGGGCAGAGGTGGAGGGGGTGGAGGAGGTGGTGGAGGTTGGGTAAGGTAGCTGGGCACAGAATGCATATTCAGGCTGCTCTGCAATCAGAAGAGAAAATTAAAGTGTTATAGCTGGAAGCCAGAGCTCGGGAAGTGCTCAAGTCGTAGAGTATCTGCCTAGTAAGTGTGAGGCCAAGTTCAAACCCCAGTACTGCCAAAAAAACAGCTGGATGCCAGAGTCTGGTTCATCAGTGCAGAAGGACTGTGGTCTTAGCTGGCATGAGGAAAGAACAGCCACCACAGGGCAGCTCAGAGGATAGGGCTGAGAGGTGGTGGGAAATAAAGTCCCAGGAGAATTCCAAGAGGGCATCAAATTGTTGCTGCTATCCCTCTTCTCTGAATGTCAGCAAAACTGGCCTAGCTTGTGCAAAAAAAGAGTTAATACAAGAGACCTAACGCTGCCATCTTAAGTGGGACTGGATCTTAACTGGCAGCCAGGAACGTGGCTTTGGAACCTTGTCTTGGTTGGTAAGATTATTTCACCCACCATGGGGCACTGACCACACTGTCCCAACTCACCAGACCATGCCAACAGTGTGGCTTATGGCAAACACCTCCTTCTCCTCTGGGAGTCTGGAGTTTTGGTCAGGTTGGCTGGTTGCATCTGTATATTGGAAACTCTCAAGAAGCCATTATAATGGGGATGAAACTGACCAAGATACAATGTAAGCATATATGGAAATGTCACAATAAAACCCTCTGTACAACAAATTTGCTAATAAGAGTGTTAAAAAAAGAAGCTGCTATGTTCTCAAAGGTATATTAAACATTTTCATGTTATAAAAAAAAGCAGCAGCCACTATGTGTTTTAATTTTTTTTCTTTTTTTTTTTGGCAGTACTGGAATTTGAACTCAGGACTGCACGCTTCCTAAGCAGGCACTCTACCACTTAAGCCACTCTATCAGCCCTTAAATTTTTTTTCTAATTGACATGGGACATTTTTACTAAGAATAAAGTCAGGAGTGAAAACAGCTGGACAGTGGCTATGAACCCCACCCAAACATGGCAGCTTCCTCAATGGAATAGCAACAATCCGCGGAAGGAAGATAATCACCCTCAGTGTGGGGGAGCTGGGGACAAGACCCCCTTTTACTACAAGATTCTGAATCTGCAGCGGTTAATAGACAAGTTCACAATCAAGACCACATGAGATTTGCTTGCCATGGAAAGTGCTGACTCCCCAGCACTGAAAAAAGAAAAACAAAATAAGACCCTGTGAGAAGCCACGGCCTCCTTACCTGCACAGGCGGGAGCCCTTGAGGCATGGGCTGGTCCAGGGACGTGAAGGCCGACATGGCAGACATAAGCACATCATCACTCACCAAGATGTTCCCCTGCACCAACGTCTGGATCAGCGGGGATGGGGGGACCGTGATGTATGTGGAGATCTAAATAACAAGAGAGACAGAGAGTGTGTTTGGACATGCCTGAGGCTCTGTAGGAAGCTGAGGGAATGATGCAAAAGACTCAGCTTCTGTCTCTATCTCTGCTGTGCTCTGCTTTGTGACCTTGGACAAGTCACTCTAACTCTCTGAATTTCCATTTAATCACCTTCTAAATGAGGAAAATAAGTCACATATACCCTATGATCCAGCAGAAATACCTCCTGGTTTCTAAGTCTAGAAAAGCACCCACATGTCCACAGGAAGTCCACAGACAAGAGGCCTCTGCACAGTGAAAAAACTGTAACTAACCCAAATGTCCATCACCAGCAGAATGAATGGAAAATTAGCACTATGGAGTCATGAGACAGAATATAACACAGCATGGAAAATCAAACTGCATAATAATATGTGGATTTTATATTTTTATTTTTGAAAATTCTAAAACAATAATATATAGTTTCTTCAGTTACATAAATAAATATTTGAAAAATCTTAAGTCATAAAGGATTGTTGTGAACGGTTACCTAGGGGAGCTGGTGGAGATAAAGTACCTGCCTAGCAAGTGTGAAGCTGGTAGTTCAAACCCAGTGCCACCAAAAAAAAAAAAAGTCATCAATATGTTTGCAGGGCACCAGCTCCCATCTGTAATCCTAGCTACTCAGGAAGCAGAGATCAGGAGGACTGCAATTCGAAACCAGTCCAGGCAAATCTCAAAAAAAAAAAAAAAAAATTACAAAAACAGGGCTGGTGGAGTGGCTCAAGGTGTAGGCCCTGAGTTCAAACCCTAGTACCGCAAAATAACCCAAAAAGACAGTTACCTAGGGGGCAGAGAAGAGGAATAGAGGGGACCAAAGGAGCCTTGATTTGTAACACTCTAGCTTTTAAAAGGCAGAAAGTATTAGAGCATGATGGAGCATACCTGTAATTCCAGCAACTCAGCAAGCTGAGGCAGGAGGATTGCAAGTTTGAGGCCAGCACAGGTAAGGTAGCAACACCCTGACTCAAAAACAAAATAAAAACAAAAGGAGGGGCTGGAGGAGTGGCTCAAGTGATAGAGCGCCTGCCCAGCAAACATGAAAACCCTGAGTTTAAACCCCAGTACCACCAAAAAAAAAGGATTGGGGTCATATCTCAAATGATATAGCATGTGGAAGGCCTTGGGTTCAATGCTCAACACTGCAAAAAACAAAAACAAAGCAAAAGGAAACCTATACTACTAACAAATGTACATTCAGAGTGATAGTGAGGGGGACACACAGCACGAAGTTCTTACAGGAGAGCATCAAATAGTGGCTGCTCCTCTTGCAGCTTTAAGGGGTTGTTTTGTTTCTGTCCCCACCACACACACACTTGGGATTAAACCCAGGGTCTCACTCTTGCTAGGCAAACACTACCACTTGAGCCCCTCAGCCCTTTTTCCTGTTTTTTGTTGTTGTTTTTTGTGGGACTGGGGTTTGAACTTGGAGCTTTGTGCTTGCAAAGCAGGTGCTCTACTCTACACCTCCAGTCCATTTTGCCATTTTTTTTTTTTTCTGGAGATGGGGTCTCACAAACTATTTGCCCAGCCTGGCCTCAAATTGTGATCCTCCTGATCTCAGCCTCCCAAATAACTAGGATTAGAGGCATGAGCCACCAGCACCTGGCAGTTCTTTTGTTTTTATTTTGTTTTTGAAACTGGGGGAGAAGTGAGTTGAAACCTTATTACTACCAAAATAAATAAATAAATAAATCACCTCTTCACAGAGCCCTTCCCCGGGTATAATATACAGTATGGCAAAACCTCCCACCCTGTCTTGGTATCTCCTATCTCTCTAAATTTAACATGATGAAAAAAGTACTTTTTTTGTTTTTCTTTTTTGAGACACGGCACAGTCGTGCTATGTAGCTCAGGCTGGTCTGGAACTTACAATCTTCTTGCCTCAATCTCCCAAGTGGGGGGATTACAGATGTATAATGCCACTTTGGCCAAAAAGTGTATCTTTATACATTTTCATATTACCAATCTCACCCAACTCCACAAAGGAAGTGACTTGGTGGGTCTTGTCCATCATTGTACCTCCAAGGCCCAGCACAGCGCCTGACACATAGTAGGTGCTAAGAAGACCTGCTGAAAGAATGAACAAACGAACGAATGAATGAATACCTGTCGATTGGCAGGAGGCGGGGCCTGCTGGACCGCTGCAGGTGCTGCTGAGGGTGTGTAGATGCTGTTGGTGGCCAGTGAGACTGTGGCCAGGGCGGGGGCATTCCCCTGGCACTGTTCCCGCTTGTGGGTCATAAATGCCGGCAGCGAGTTGAACTGCTTTTTACACTTCCCGCAAAGAAAGACATCCTCATCATCTAGGGGTCAGACCCGCATAGTAGCACCAAGGGGCCGCAGAGAGAGCAGAGTAACAGAAAAAAGCAAGAGTAAGTCTGGTGGCTGACGCCTGTAATCCTAGCTACTCAGAAGGCGGAGATCAGGAGGATCGTGGTTCAAAGCCAGCCTGGACAAATACTTCATGAGACCCTATCTCAAAAAAACCCATCACAAAAAAGGGCTGGTGGAGTGACTCATGGTGTAGACCCCGAGTTCAAACCTCAGTACCGCAAAAGGAAGGAAGGGAGGAAGGGAGGTGGAGAGGGAGCCTGCGGGTGACTGCCAGAACAGCAAATCTGAAAGCAGGCTCCTGTGACTTACAGGGTGGGTGTTAAAGACCAGTGGTGAGGTTCCCACAAGCATTCAGAGCTACACTGGCACCTTTAGAAGGAGTAAGCCTGGTATTAATCAATTAAAAATCAGAAATAGCAAAAAAAACCCTCCAAGATGAGAAATTCAGAACATTTATCTTGCCTGAATTTATTCGTCAGACTCCAACTGGGCCACATGACCACACTTCTCTGTGTTTCCCCCTACCCGATTGCCTCTCTCAAATTCATTCTTCAAAGTTCACCTCTTCCAGGAAGCCTTCTTAAAGCCAGTGGCCACAGTTCCTACCTCTGGGCACATCCCTTTTAATCTGTTTTCTCCTCACCACCAGACTATGTGTTCCCTAAGGGAAGGGAGTGTGTCTTATTTATCACCCTGGCTGGAACATGAAATGATCAGCTGCGGTTAGTACTGCCTGTTATTGAGGGCCTACCATGGCCTTGCATCCTGTCAGGCCCTTAAAGCAAGGTGGAGAAAAATGTCTGCTAGTGCATTTTTTTTCTTTTTTGGTGGGACTGAGATTGGAACTCAGGACTTTGCACTTACAAAGCAGGTGCTCTACCTCTTGGGCCACACCTCCAGTCCATTTTTTTTGTTTTGTTTTGCTTTTTTATTCTATTTTTCCTTTTTTTTTTTTTTTCAGTGCTGGGGACCAAACTCAGGGCCTTGCACTTGCCAGGCAAGTGCTCTTCCACTGAGCTAAATTCCCAGCCCCCCTCCAGTACATTTTAATCAGTTTACTTTGGAGATGGGATCTCCCAAACTATTTGCCTGGGTTGGCCTCGAACCATGATCCTCCCAATCTCAATCTTTCAAGTAGGTAGGATTAAAGGTGTGAGTCACCAGCGCCTGGAGGTGTTGCAGATTGAACCCAAGGTCTCACACTGCACCCCGGGTGGGGGGGGGCTACTGAGGTTTGAACTCAGAGCCTTGCACTTGCTAGGCAGGTGCTCTCCCACTTGAGCCATAACCCCAGCCCTTTTTTGCTTTAGGCTATTGTTTGGATAGGGTTCTCGCATTTTTACCTAGGGCTGGCCTCAGACCATGATCCTCCTACCTGTGCCTCCCAGTAGCTAAAATTACATGCATGGCCACCACACATGGCTTATTTATGAGGTGGGGTCTCACTAACTTTTTTGCCCAGGCTGGCCTCAAACTGCCCTCCTCCTAATCACTGCCTCCAAGTAGCAAGGATTACAGGCATGAGCCATCATGCCCAGTGTGTTATTTAACTTTGATTGTAATGTTCTTACACAGTATACAAATTTTAACTAGGAAAACATGGCTTCTTAGTTAAAGAATATATTTCCCAGTGTGCTTTGCAACTAGGCATGTCATGTGGCTGAATTCTCACAATCAAGGTAAGAGCCAAAGTATACCATATATAAAATGTTCTTTAAAAGGAAAGGGTATAGCTGGACATGGTGGCACACATCTATAATACCAGGACTTGGAAATTTGGAAGGCTAAGGCAGTAGGCTCATGAGTTTGAGGCCAGCGTGGCCTGTCTCAAAACACCAAAACACACACACACACACACACACACACACACACACACACACACACTAAATATCAAATAAAATAATAAACAATCAAATACATAAAGGGAACAGTATGATTTGTGCTTCCTTCTTTCTCCCTTCATGTTGGCTGGAAGATGAACATCAAAGCAGGGGTTGGGCCAGCCATCCTGGATCACATGCTGAGGGCAGCAGAGTCACAAGAAAGGATGGTCTGAGTCTCACTGTGCCTGCCCAAATGCCCATCCAAGGGTCCATGTTAGAGAGAAATAAATTTCAATCTTGTAGAAAATGTGAGAAACTTTCTCCCTTTTTTTGGCTGTACTGGGTTTTGAACTCAGAGCCTCATGCTTGCTAAGCAGGCACTCTACCACTTGAGTCACTCTGCCAGCCCTTTTTTGTGTTGGGTATTTTTGAGAGAGGATCTCTGGAACTATTTGTCTGTGCTGGCTTTGAACCTCAATCCTTCTGATCTCTACCTCCAGAACAGCTAGGATTACAGGTGTGAGCTACCAGCACCCAGCTCATTTCTTATGTACAACAGCTGAAAACAAATCCCCCAAGTACTCTCGTAAGATTTCTATGAGGTAGGGCACTTATTTCCATTTTATAGATAAGGATAATGAGGCACAGCTGGCTGCCCAGGGACACAGAGCCAAAAACTATGGGAATATAGATTCAAACCTAAGTGTTTATCTCTCTGTCCCTCGCATAGTTCCAGTTCAAAAATGAGGCTGGGAGTATGACTCAAGTGATAGAGCACCTGCCTAGGAAACCCAAGGCCCTGAATTCAAACCTCAGCATGGCAAAAAAAAAAAACCAAGATTTTCCTACCAAGTATTCAAAATGTTTGTGGAATAAATAAATGAACACAGAGACTCATATAGGGACTTCCAAAATAAGTCCTTTTCCCTTTTTGACTCTCCAGGATTTGGCTCTCAAACAGGAGAAATTTGTACTCAACCTGTTCTTTCTATAGAGGGGAGGCTGGGGAATGACTTCCAGGGCAAAGGTCCACATGTTGCCAAGCATCAGAGCTCCTGTCTTTCCAGTACTGTGACACCAGCTCCCACATTCACTTAGCAGGTGAGAGAGGGTGTCCTCAGAGCCAAGCAGGAAAAGGAGTGAGCCTGAAGGTCCAGGCAGGGAGGAAGGGAGAGGGTTCAGACACAAGAGGACACCTGGGGACCACAATGGAGGCTCCCTTCCACACCCCTAGAGCTCCACTGTTCCCCACGAGGAGCCACTTACCCTCCACCAGTGAGAAGAGCAGATACTCACCCAAGGGCTGGATGGCAGGGGGTGCGTTGACGCTCTGGCCTGTTGGATCTGGGACTGCTCCCTGGCCATCCAACAATGACTGGACGGCCAAAACAGTCTGATTGTCCATTCCTAAAAAAGGCAATGCAGCCTCTGTGGAAGGCAGGCTCAGCACCTGCTCTGACTTCACCCCCACAGGCCAGACCCACCACAAAGTCACCTGGGTGAAGACTAAGTTCTCTCCTACTTCACCGTAACAGATCCCAAGATCTGGTTATGTAAAAGTTACACTTCTCAGCCTCTTTGGCAGCTACAAAGGACTGCAGTCCTGGCCAAGGAGACAAGAAGGAGATGTGCAGCAGTTTCAGGGAAGGTTTTTGTTTTGTTTTTCCAGTACTGGGGTTTGAACTCAGGGCCTTGTGCTTGCCAGGCAGGTACTCTACCACTTGAGCCACACACCCAGACCTTTTTGCTGTAGTTATTTTTCAAATAGGGTGTCACATTTAGGCCCAGGCTGGCTCGAACCTCAATCCTCCTATTTATGTTTCCCACCAAGCTGAGATGACAGGTGCATGCTACCACATCCACCTTTTATTGATTGAGATGGGGTCTAGCAAACTTTTTGCCTGGGACTGGCCTCAAACACCAATCCTCCCCATCTCCACCTCCGAGGTAGCTAGGATTATAATCATGAGTCTGGCTCTGGAAAGATTTTTTTTTTTTTTTGGTGGGACTGGGATTTGAACTCAGGGTTTCACATTTGCAAAGCAGGTGCTCTATCACTTGAACCACACCTCCAGTCTATTTTTTGCTCTAGTTATTTTTTTTTGGGGTTTGAGTCTCACAAACTATTTGCCCAGGCTGGCCTCGAACCATGATCCACCCAATGTCAGCCTCCCAAGTAGATAAGATTACAGGCATGAGCCACTAGCACCTAGCTCCAGGAAGATTTCTTAACAGCTGCCTGGTAGGTAGCCTCCTTCTTTGTCCAATCTCCTATTCTGCTTCCTAGAACAAGAACATGGAACTCTCTCCACCATCCTAGACCATGAGGACAAACTCTAGGGATCTCAGAACAAAAAAGGGGCTGGGAGTGTAGCTCAGTGGAAGAGCACATGCTTAGCATGCATGAGGCCTGCAGCTCATCCCCAGCACCAATGCTAGAAGGCTCCTGGGCCTGGGAGAAGCTTATAAACACACTCCCAGTCTAGTCCTCCTAGGCTGCTTTTCTCTGGACTTTCCTATGAACAACCTTGTAGTCTCTAAGCCACAGCCAGGTCGGGCCCCTCTTACTAACAGCTGACTGTAAACCATACAGCCCCTCCAGATATCACGATGCCCAGTCTTCCTCACCCACACCCCTCAAGTCTCACAAGTTGCACTTGGGCATCCTTGCTTTCTCTGTTCCCATTTCCCATCCCTTCAACATCAGGAATGTGAAGATTATCTATACCCTGCATCTTCACTGCCCACCTTCCAATCCTCCTCTACCCACTCTGTCACCAAAGCCCATCTGGCAGCATCAATACTCTGTGAAACACTTCCTTCTTGGCTCTAGGTACCTTCCTTCCTGGGTCCCCTCCATCTTTCTCCGGCCTCCTTAAATTTCCTCTTCTCCTACCCACCCCCTAAAGGTCTCTACTTTGAAGAATTCCTTCTACCTGACTGCTCTCTGGGCAGTTTAACCTCCACCCATATTCATATTTATTTATTTATCTATTTATTTGTGTAGTACTGAGTACTGGCCTACACCTTGGGCCACTCCACCAGCCCATTTTTGTGGTGGGTATTTTCAAGATAGGGTCTCACGAACTATTTGCCTAGCCTGGCTTTGTAACACAATCCTCCTGATCTCTGCCTCCTAAGTAGTTAGTATTACAGGCACGAGCCACTAGTGCTCAGCTGTATTCATGCTCTTCTGAACTAGTTTCTAAAACCCTTTACCATTTTATGCAAAACCATGCTTTAGGATCTGGGTGCAAATCTGTATATAAACGCTCAAAAATCTTTTATTCATAATAGTAAACAACTGGAAACAGCTCAGAGAGCCTTCAGTGAGTGACTGGTTAAAGAAAGTGTGGGACATCCACAATAAAAAGAAACAGATTTACTGACAGGCACAACTTAAATGAATCTCCAAGGAATTGTGAGGGATTGAAAGAAGTGAGTCTCAAAGGTAATATGCTTTATGATTCCACTTCTGTAATATTCTTGAAATGACAACATTTCATAAACAAAGTACAGATTAGTGGTTGCCAGAGTTCAGGAATGGTGGGAGAAGGGGAGGGACTGGGGTGTGGCTAGAAAAAGACAACAGCTGGTAGTGATGGAATAGTTCTGTGTTGACAGGTAGTGAGATGCCAGAATGTTACCAGATGTTAAGGGCTGGCAGAGTGGCTCAAGTGGTTGAGTGCCTGCCTAGCAAGCATGAAGTCCTGAGTTCAAACTCCAGTACCAGGCGCTCCCTCCCCCCACAAAAAAAAAGAGATTCAGCTTAGTGTTATTAGATGTTACCACTGGTAGAAACTGGGTAAAGGAGTCTTGGGATCATTCTGTTTTATGACTGCATGATCATCTACAGAAAAAAAATTATTTCAAAATATAATACAGCCTAAAACTACCCACCCTAATTAAATGTCATCCCTTACCACTAATAAGTCTCCGTAAGAATGAGCACCACTATCCTCCCAAACTCAGCCCCAGGGGTACCCCTGATTCTTCCTTCACCTTACTGCTCCCCCTCCCATTCCTACTCTTATTCTGCTCCCAAATATGTCTGAAATCCACTCCTTCCAGCCTCTCAGCTGTCCCCTGATCCAGGTCACAATCGGTTCTCAGCTGGACAACTTGAGCAGAGTCCTCACTCACGTCCTGGCAGCCAAATGGCCCCCTCCAGCCTGTTTTCAGAGCAGCCAGGGTGACCTTTATAAAACATACATCAGATTGTATGCCCCCTGCTGAAAACCTTTTCTTAGCTCTACACTGATCCCAAGATAAAGTTCAGTTTCATCAAAACAGTGGTGGCCTGGTGTCCAGCTGCTCTCCATGCGAACTTCCGTGAATCGAGGTCTCCCCCCAGAGCTTTGCAGATGCTCTGTCCCCTGGATCTCCGCAGTCTGGCTGCCCTTCCTTCACCCACAGGCATCATGATGTGCCTGATGGGACTGATTTTTATTTATTATTTTTTAGTGCTAGGGATGGAACACAGGACTTGTGCAGGCTAAGCACACACTCAGCAGCTGAGCTATACCTCCAGCTAATGTCTCTTAATTTCATTACTCGTTACACAAACACATTCTTGCAGCAAACATTCAAACAAAGCGACTCTAAGAGAAAGTAGGTCTCACCCTATCCTACTATGCTCCAGGAAGGACCCCCCCCACACACACACACATCTATCATCCCCGGGCTTATCTGCTTAAAACATCACCTGAGGTTATCGACTTTTACCAGTTACCTTTTCTATGCTTGTATAATTTCCCTCTTGGTGTGTGTGTGGGGCGGGGGGCGGGCAGCTATGTTTGGCTCACTGAATCCCTCTAGATTGGGGAGAACGCTGATCCTTCAAGTGAAGTGGCTGAGATCTCCTAGGCTGCTACAGAACTCAAACCCTCAGCTTCCCATATGGCCAGGCCTGCAACTCTGTGTATTCACCTCATCGGACTTCTGCAAGCGCATCCTGGGTCTGGATTTCCATCCTCGTCTACTCTGTGCCCTGGCCCGGGGTCGCCACGCTGCGCTCCTCGCCGACCACTAGCCCCCACCCACCCCAGCAGGTGCACGTGGAGGAGCTCAGGGTTTACTATCTCCAAAACCTGTAATTCTCTGAGCTTAAGAACCTCCCCATCCCAGGTTCTTGCAGATCACACGACAGTCAGTGAACACCCAGTGTTTGCTGGCGTGAATCTGAGAACACAGCGTCCGGGTCAGGAACACGCGGCAACGTTTCTAGCTCGGAGTTCGTAAAAACTCTGCACCCTAGCACGGTACACCCGGCAGGCGCCCCGTGTTTGCCGGCGTGGGTCTGTGAGCTCCCAATCACGGGCGTGCACGCAGGTGGCTCCTCTCCTTTCCTGGCGTGATTTTTTAAAGACTACATCCAGTACGAGGCACACAGTTCGCTCAAGCGAAGTGCATGGCCAGGGCGCCAGGCTCGGCGGCCCGTGCGGCCAAGGCCTTGCAGCCCCGCACCGGGACCCCGCGTCCCGCCGAATCGCCGCGCGCCCAGCTGTTCCCTTTGGGAGCCCGAAGCCCCGCGACAGGAGCTGTTCCGGTCCCGCGGCCCCCTCCCCGCTGGACCAGCTGTCCCCGGCTGTTCCGGGTCCGGTACTCCCTCCCCCGCCGGGCCGCGGCTCCCGCGGCTGTTCCCGCCCGCGCCCCTCCCGCCCCGCGGCTGTTCCGGCCCCGGCGCCCTCCGCCCCGCGGCCGCCGCGCGCCCTGGGCCCGGCGCTGCGAGGGCGCGGCGGGAGGGGGCGCCACGCGGAACAGCCGCCTCCCCCGGCCCTGCCGCGCTCACCCTCCAGGGCCTCGAAAATCGCCTGCGCCATCTTGGAGCCGCCGCGGGAGCCGAAGCCGGGCTACGCGAGCATTGTGGGAGCCGCGGCGGCCGGGTCGGGGCCGCCAGGGGGCGCCCAGGAGCCGCCGCTGAGCCCAACGCCCCGGAAACACAGCCTCGGCTCGGGAGCCCCCCACCCATCCCTGGGCTTCCCGGCCCCGCCCCCGAGACCCGGTCACCGGCTCTTGGGGACCCCCATCCTCACTTCATTTGAGCCTCTAACTCTACAGGCCCACATCTGCCGCACACACGGGCCCTCCCAACCCTATTATCAGAGCCCTCATTCCTCACCTCACCGGACATGGCTCCCAGCTCTGACACAGACCCTTCCCATCCCCAGAGCACATGAGACCCCAGCTCTGCAGCATGGACCCTACCCGCCGCACTCAGGACACCCCAATTTCTCAATCCCAACTCCATTCCCGGACCACCCAGTTGTCAAAAGGACCCCCCCCCCAACTGTACGGCATGGACTCCACCCTTGACACAGACCTTCCATTGCCCCAAACGCCCTCTTCCTGCCCATTGGGAGACACCCGGCTCTCGTGTGACTCCCATCTCTCCCTGATCTTGACACTGCCTATCCATCATTGCTCAGATTCCCCCATGGTTGTTATTTCACCCCCATTCCACCTTTTGGGGAATCTCCACCTTTCACACAGACCTTCCTCCCATCCCTACTTCTCTGAGATCCCATTTCTGTCACAGAAACCCAGTGCTACACATCTCTGCCACTCGTAGCCCAGCCCCTGGTCTCACAGGGACCCTCCTACCCCTCATTTGGAACCCCATCACAAACACACTGGCTCATTTTCATTCATGTGCCTTATGGGACACATGCTCTTGGGGACCAACAATATGCCAAGTCATATGATAGCTCTAGAAACTCAGGGGTCCTTTCCCACTAAATTGGCGGGGGGGGGGGGAACGGGACATTGAATTCCTTTTTCATTTGTTATTTATTTATTGCAATACTGAGACTGGAACCCAGGCCTCAGGTATACTACACAAGTGCTCTACCACCTAGCTATACCTCCATCCCTTTTTATGTTCTTATTTTGAGACAGGGTCTTGATGAATTGATAAATTGCCCAGGCTGGCTTTGAACTTGTGATCCTCCTGCTTCAGTTTCCAGAAAAGCTATTATAGGTGAACACCTCCATGCCCAGCTGGACATTCAGTCTTAAAGATTACTGCCAGGAGCCTGTGGCTCACACCTGTAATCCTAAACTACTCAGGAGTCAGAGATCAGGAGAATCTCTGCTGGAAGCCAGCCCAAGGCAAATAGTCCCTATCTTGAGTATATCCAACAAAAAAAGGGCTGGCAGATTGGCTCAAGTAGTAGAGAGTGCCTGACTAGCAAGTGTGAGGCCTTGAGTTTAAACCCCAGTACCACAACAGCTACAAAAAAAATTAATTACAGTGTATGATAGGGGTTTCAAAGAAATGGTCTTGGGCCACAAGGAAGAATTGGGGGAAGTGCACAGGGAGAAAGGAGGACCAGAGAGTTGCCATGGCGATGGATGGCATCATGGTTGTGGCTGTAACCTGGTGAGACTGGACCACCGTGGATTGTTTTTACAAAGTGTCTGTTTTAGCCTCAGCCAAAGGAATAATCAGCAAAAGATTGCAATTTTCATTTTCTTATATTCATTAAATATAGAACTCCTAAAATTAAAGAAATGTTCATTCAAAGCTCTGCCAGCCACCGTTCTGGTAAGTTGCCTCATAGACCCTCTGCCCGAATATCCCCCACTCAAGGCCCATTTCTACCAGTGACCTCCCCTTTGTGCCCTGAATACACCACTTTGTCCCCTACAGCTACCCACCCCTCCCCCAGGTCCCTTCCCATCTCCTTTTGCACATGAGCAACTCAACAAATGTCCCCTGCAGAAAACCCACTCTTCTCTAAGACTCCACATGCCATCCCCTTTCCTGGGAATGTTGGAGACGCAGGGCCCACCACAAGCTCTAAACCCTCCTTCTCATTGTCTCCATGGCACAAGGAAGGCCAGGGTCCCCTCTTCCCTGTCTTTAACATCCCCACTGCTGCCCCCATCTCAGACTCTCCTCTCTCCCCTACAAGAGTTTCTTAACATAACTATTATTATTATTATTATTATTATTATCCAGGTAAGATGTTAAGTCATCCAGTCATTTAATTAACTTCAAAGTTGTTTGGTGACCTAATTATTCCACAATGTATATGTACTTCAAAATATGATGTACAAAATAAACATGCATCTTGTGTCAATTAAAAAAAAATTGTTGAACACATTGCTGTGTGCTAAACAGTGTTCTAGATGCTGGGGATATAGCCACAAACAAAAAGACAAAAATCCTTGTCCTCATGGAATAATAGTCTGGCAGACAAGATGGGCTGTAAACGAGAGAGACAGAGGGAGATGTTCCATAACTTGAGATTTTTTTTTCTGGGAGGAGGGGAACTCCTATTGTTCTGATGAGGGTAGGAAAACAGCATTTCAGGAAAAAAGAGAAGGTCTACTGCATGTAGGGAAATACTTGGGAAACTGCTATGGGCTGTTTGTTGCCTCTGTTAGAAACTTTTACTGTCCAGTGTTTCCCATCACCCTCAGAATAAAACTCAAACTCTTGCTGCCTTCTTACAGTTCTTGACCTCCTTTGTGTGTATGTGCTGGGGACGGAAATAGAGTTTTGTGAATGCCAATCAGGTGTTTTACCACTGAGCTTCGTCCCCAGCCTTTGGCCTCCTTCCATTTTGGCTTACTTGCTGTTCCCTTTACCTTGCTGTTCCCTTTTACCTAGCTGGCTCTGTCTCATTTTTCAAGTCTCCCTCCTCAGAGTGGCCCAAGTATTTCCCTACATGCAGTAGACCTTCTCTTTTTTCCTGAAATGTTGTTTTCCTACCCTCATCAGAACAATAGAAGCCTGCCTGCCTTCTTGCCTCCTCTGAAAAGCTTTCCCTGGCCTCCTAGGATGGAGTTGAGCCCTCTTGCCAGTCTAGATTCTCTGATAGCATCTGGTACTGTCACGGGAACCAGGACCACTTCAATTCCAGGGAGGTTCCCAGACATCATATAACCTTAAACCAGGGAGCTGAACTTGTGATACAGGGTGCTGTGTTCATGGCCTTGATGCCAACCAAGCTCTGGATGTTATCACAGAAAAGAATTTAAGGACAAGTCTAGTTAGAGGAGAAGTTTACAGAAGTTTTATTTAACAAAATAGAAAAGTAGGAAACAAAGCCCATCTCAATAGGCTAGAGATGTGAGCACAGGAGAAGCACCAAGTCCTTTTGTAAGGCCTATTTATAAGACTCAAGTCAGTCTAGGGAACTATAGGTCCTTATCTCTGCGCAGGCTTCTTCCTTTCCAACCATCTCATATGTTAATCATCTGTTGTGACAACCTTTCTTTAATTGTATCATTTTTTTTGTGTATGTGGGACTGCTGGTTGAACTCAAGGTGTCACATCTGCAAAGCAAGTGCTCTACCACTTGACTCATACCTCCAGTCCATTTTGCTCTGGTCACTTTAGAGATGGGGTCTCACCAACTATTTGCCTTAAATCTTCATCTTCCTGATCTCAGCTTCTCAAGTAGTCAGGATTACAGGTGTGAGCCACAGCACCTGGCTTGCTAATTTTTTTTTTTTGAGCTATTTGCCCAGGGTGTGCTTACCCAGAGCTCTGGGCAAATCCTTAGTGCAAGGTTAAGAGCATGGCCAGCTGCTGTAGCCTAATGTGGAACAGGAGACTTCACACTATTAACAGTGTTTACTCTCAGCTCCTGTCTCTTGGTTCCTATGCCTCAATGTCCCTAATCTAGCCTGCTGCAGCCCCATTCCTATGATGTGCCATTCTCCTGCTATTGGCAGTTCTCTTTTCCCCAGCCCTCCATAGGGAGCCCTCTGAACAAGGGAGGCTCTGCAGCCATTCTGCTTGGACCTCAGACTTGGCACAGAGGCCGCCTGAGAAATGCTTGATTGATGGCCTTCCAGACTGAACACATGGATGAGGACTCAAGAATATAGAGCCCTGACATGGACAGGCTCCCCAGCCACACTGTCTCTAATAAGAACTTTCTACTCCTTACTGTCACCACTTCTTCCACCTATTCAGTCCCATGTCCCAGTCCCTCAGGGACATCTGGTTGGCCTTGAACAGAACCCAGTCACAACTTAGAAACTTCTGGAATAATGTAGTAATTCCAGGCATGGAGCCAAGCAGGAAGCTGGAGAAATATCTAGTATCTTACTTCACAATGAGTACTCCAGCTACCCAAATGCTAACTTCTCCGGAGCGAGGGAAGAGCCACAAGCCCTCACACAGTTTCAGGGGTACATAAAGTAGTGCTGAGTCCCAACACCTTGTGTGGTTTGTTGGTGTTATTAGGAGGCACCAAAGCATGGTAGCTGTTATAGACGGAGTTGTATGTCTCCCTCTTCTTCAGAATTCATATGTCCAGGTCCTAGTCCTAGGACCTCAAAATGTTACGATATTTTGAGATAGAGCCTTTAAAGAAGTAATTAAGGTTAAGTGAGGACTGGCAGAATGCCTCAAGTGAAAAGAGCACCTGCCTATCAAGTGTGAGGTCCTGAGTTCAAAACCCCATGCAGCCAAAAAAGAAAAGATAAGTGAGGTCATAGAGGTGGGCCCTAAACCAAAGTAACAGTTGTCTTTATTAAAAAAAAAAAAAAAAAGGAGATTAAACTGGGAATGGTGGTACACACCTATAACCCAAGCACTCAGGAGGCTGAAGCAGGAGGATAGCTTGAGGTCATCCTGGACTCAAAAAAAAAACAAACAAACAAACAAAGGATCAGAGATTTGGGGATAGCTATATCATCTTGGGCAAGTTGCTTTGTGCCTCAGTTTCCTATAGGTTAAATGGGTATGGGCAGGGTTGCTATGAATGAAATGGTTAACAAAATACTGAGGGGTGGAGGTATGGCTCAGTGGTAGAGCTACCAGCAAGTGTAAAGCCCTGGATTCACTATGCTCACTAAATACATTTTATTACTCTGAGCAAAGGTGAATAAGCAGGCCCTGCCTGAGGCACTCAGTTATGTAAAATTAAAAAGTGTCACCAAGTAATAAGCGTTCCCACGTGGTAACTCTTTACCTTAGCATCATGAGAGATTTGTGAGGATAGAAACTTACTCATCTACATGAGCAAGGTCTTAATAACTAAAAAAAGATTACACCCAAGAAGAACTTGCCAAACCAGATAGTTTCCAAATAACTTCTCCCAATGCTGGGCCATATGTCAATAGAAAGTAACATTTCTAAAAGTTGTGTTTGGCTCCTTTCCAAGTTCACTGTATTTTTTAAATTGTTCCCTATTCTCTATGGCTATTATCTTTTTTCCCCTTCCTTCCTTCTTTCCTTCCTTCCTTCCTCCCTCCCTCCCTTCCCTTCCCTCTCCTCCCACTTCCCTCCCTCCCTCCCTCCCTCCTTCTTCCTTCCTTCCTTCTTTTCTTCCTTCCTTCCTTCCCTCCCTCCCTCTTTCCTCCCTTCCTTCCTCTCTCCCTCCTTTCTTTTCTCTCTCTCTCTCTCTCTTTCTTTCTTTCCTTTCTTTTTTGTCTTGCAATGTAGCCCAGGATAGCTTAGAACTCATTATATAGCCTAGGATGTCCTTGAATTTGAAATTCTCCTGCCTCAGCCTCCTGAGTATTGGGGCATGCATAGACATGCACCACCACAGGTTTTTATAGGTATTTTCTAGCGTTAAGGTTTTTTTAGACGTGTTCTCGATCGGATGATGGCGGGTGCCGCGGAAGACGCGCGAGCTCTCTTTAGCGCTGGCGTCCACGCAGCGCTAGACCCCTGGCCCGCTTTACAGCTGACTTGCAGCTAGATGAAGTGGAAGATTTCCTTGGAGAGCTGATGACCAATGAGTTTGACACGGTTGTGGAGGATGGGAGCTTGCCCCAGGTGAGCCAGCAGCTGCAGACCATGTTCCACCATTTTCAGAGGGGTGATGAGGCTGCTCTGAGGGAGAAGGCCTCTCACATCCCCCAAAAAAAGTGCAAAGTCACAGCCACCGCACATAGGGGAGTCAGAGAGACCGATGAGGATGAAGATGATGTGGACAGCGTGGAAGAGATGGAGGTCACAGATACGACTGATGGGGCTGCTACAGCTGGGGTCTGCTCTCAGCCTGAACCATCTGAACCAAATACCCAGACTATTAAAGAAGAGGATATAGTGGAAGATGGTTGGACCATTGTCCGGAGAAAGAAATGAGTGGGGCTGGAAATGGTTTGGACCCTTGTTAGGCGTTCTGAGACTTATTTGTAGGAACGTTTTTGGGGGGCTGTAGACCTCTGGATTGGTTACTCTATCCCCACCCTCTTCCCTGCTTTCCTGTCCAGCTCTCTCCAGGGGAAGAAAAGCCCTAAGGTACTTGGCTGTGGGGTGATGTGACCTAGTCCACCATACCCCTTGAGCCTTAAGGTATCACCTGAGCGATGAGGCTGGGTTCCCCAGCATAGCGACTCTTGGGTGCAGTCAATGTAAAGAAGGGGATGTGTGTGTGTGTGTGTGTGTGTGTGTGTGTGTGTGTGGTTGAAGGAGGAGCTAGACTGGTGGACAGTGGGCAGATTGATTTGTGGAGAGGACTAGCACACAGCTGTAAGGTGCTGGCTTGGTCAGGAATGGTGAGGTGAACATGCAGACAGAAGAGAGAGTAGTTGAAGATGTGAAGGGAAGTAGCTCTATTGCTTCTCCCCTACTCCCCCACCCCACATAGAGCATCTTGGGACCTCCCAGGAATGCTCCACTCCTTTACTGCAGCCCAGCCTCCCAGCCTGAGTTCCCTCAGGAATTCTAAGACCTGCTATGAGGTGAGGTTGGGAGAGTTGGGCTATTTTCTGTTTTCTCCAACCTCTTGACTTTCCCATCCCTTTTAAGTCCAGGGATAAGACTTAAGTCCTTAATAAATAATACCTTCTTGTTTAATCTGTGGCTTGACCTGGAATCAGGCTTCTGGGAGCAGAGCTTCAGAGTTCAGCAAGGGAGTGGATACTTGACCCACCCTAGTAGCCTGGTACTTTGGACAAACAAACAGATGGACGAAGAGATCACAGCAGTGTTCTGAAAGTTACTGTAAGCCTGAAATAAACTGTATTTTTCTTTAAAAAACAAAAAAAAAAGTTTTTTTTAAACCAGTGACTGAGAATTAGGATACCCAATATCTGTTATGTGTTGATTCTTCATGTTGTCTTGGGTGCAGGTTATCTCTGAGTGTGTTCTACTCATCACCCATGAAAAATTACCTGTGGTGTTTCCCTAAAGCAAAAGTGGATGTGATCTTCTCCAGAGAGACTTTCTACCTGTTTTTTAACAGTGGCATGGGTGCTCTCCTGGTCAGTTATTGGCCTCAAACCAGATTTCCAATTCATCAATTGTGATTATTTTTAGTTTATTTTATTTTTAATTAAAAAAAAAATTCAAGACAGGGTATCACTGTGTAGCCCAAGCTGACCTCAAACTCGTGATCTTCCTGCCTCCACCTCCAGACCTGTGATTACAGCTTGAGATTTCTTTTTTGTTTTTGATGGAATTAGTGTTTGAACTCAAAGTTTCCCACTTGCAAAGCAGGCACTCCACCACTTGAGCCATACCTCCAGCTCACTTTGTTCTGGTTATTTTGGAGATGGGGGTGGGTCTCTCAAATTATTTTCCTGGGCTGGTCTCAAACCATGACTCTTCTGATCTCAGCCTCCCAAGTAGCATGAGCCACCTGTGCCCAGCTCTTGAGATTCCTTGATCTACCTGGCTCTACTCCCTGAGCTGCAAAAAGACTCACAAATGGTCACTACTTCTAAGGAAGAACTTAAAACAAAAAATCCCCCTTTTCTGTCCCTTTCATTGTTCTGCTCAGCATCAAAGCAGCCTTTTCTGCAGTTCCTTGGGGCTAGTGGTGTGAGTTGCAAGTGGACTTGTACCATATTAGACTCAAAGATAAAACCCTTTGGGGGTCTCAGCTTACGTGAGGAGCTCTGCTGTAAGACTCTCCACTTTGAGCAGGCCCTGAACTTTCACTTCTTCCCCTCTTGCCCCATGTGGTTGGCAAACTGAAACAGGTTCAATATTTGCAATGCCTTTATGTTGTAAGTGGCTTCAGTGCTCCAATATTCGAGTCCCCTTGATAATTATCTGATTACTCACTTTCACTCAACAACTGGCCTGGGCATTCCTCACACTCTAAAGCATTTCAGTGTTTATAAGGATAAACAGAAGAGTTGCATAGAATTATTTCTTCCTGGACACACTCACAGAATGACCAAGATGGCCAGTGGTCTTGGTGTGTTGTCCTTAGACACAAAAGCCCCAGAAGTGGTACATACTCTGTGAACACTGATCTTCTCCAGTTGCTCCTGGTTTTCACAGAACTTGTCCAAACCAGGGGCCCAAAGCTGTCTGTATTTCTTATCTTTTACACTCTTCTGTCTGTTCCATTCTTTTTGTTCTTCTGTCTGTTAAGTCAAGATTCAGTCTGAGTGCTGGGAGTGTAGCCCAGTGGTAATGTACTTTCCTAGCATGTGCTAGGCCCTGGGTTCAATCCCCAGTACTGCAAGAAAAAGTGCGTGTGTTTGTGTAATCTAGCTGGAGTCCTGTCCTGGTGTGGATTCTGCATAGTTGTGATCACCTCATCCTCAATGAGTTTTCCAGCCTCTTGTTGAAGTCAGTATTTGCTTTCATCAACACCACATGAGCAATTCTCTCTTTCACTGACCTCCGACAAGGTCCTTTGATAGTGGCCCAGGCAATAATATTTCAGGTAAATATCACATGGCCCAAGTATTAGGGGACACCCTCACAAGTCACAGCCACCACTTACTGTGTAGCAGTTATCCAGTGACAACTCCACAATGTAACATCATATATAAATGTCACCAATCAGTGTTCTGGGAGATGACAACACACAATCATATTGCTTCAACAAACATGTGTTGGACACTCACCATGTATTAAGTGCTGGGGTTACAGCAGAAAACAAGACAATTAGGTTTTCATCCCCATGGAATTAACAGTCTGGTAGGAACAATGGACAATGAACATGTAGCAAACAATTTCAAAGCGTGGAAAGTTCTGTGAAGAAACCCCCACACACAAGGTAATGAGTCAGTGAGCTAGGGAGCACTGCTATTTCCATGGGATAGCTAAGGAGGTCTCTCTCATTAGGTGATAGATGAGGTGAAACCTGAAGGATGAGAGGGAAAGCTGGGGCTGATGCGTATCAGACAGGCAAATAGCAAGTGCAAAACCTCTGAGGCAGAATTCTTGGTATGCTCAAGGAACAGAAAGGAGGCCAGTTCGGGTGGAGGAGTCAGGTGGCAAGTGGGACTAGTGAGAGAGGCAGGGACAAGATCACACAAGTTCTTCCTGTGGGCCTAGGTTAGGAGTTTGGATTTTAAAAGTAAGTGAAAGCCATTGAGTGTTGCCATGCGATTCATGCTCTGAAAAGATAGTGGGTCAGCAATGTCAATGTGTAAAGAGAAGACCAAACTCCTCCCAGTGTCACAACTGGAAAATCACCATCCCACCTCTAAGAGGTGACACGCCTCCTTCCTAGCCCACTATTGAATCCAACACATAGCTAAGAAAACACACCTTCTGATTGGACAAATACTTGAGCAAGACCGTACTGAGGTCGAGTCACTGTGATTGGTTATCAGCTCTCCTTTCTCTTCCAATCAAACAGTTATTCCAAAGAGAGTGCGCGTCCCTGTACACAAGTGCGCTTTATGATTGGCTCTTCCTGTGTGAATGACGGCAGAAACAGCCTATGGGTACAACGAAGCTGCTGCGCTGCTCTGGTACGGTGGTGGGTGGGGGGGATGTGTAGCCAGAACCCTAGGCTGTCAGTGTATGTCCGTCTGGATCCCTGAACTGTGTGCGTCTTGGGTGCTATGGCCGCCCCTCCGCAGCTGCAGGCTCTGCTGCAGGCGGTCAACACACTGCTGCGCCAGCGCCGCTACCACGCTGCGTTAGCCGTGCTTAAGGGCTTCCGGAACGGGGCCGTGTGAGTGGGGCCGTGGGGCAGAGGGGTCGGGCCGGGACTAAGGGACTGGCCTGGCTGCGGTGGGAGGCGCGAGTTCGAGGCCTGGCGCCACCGCGCCCTGTGCTCTTGAACAGCCTCTCTAGGTCTCGGTGTCCACCATCTGTGCAGTGGAAGTTGGATTTTGGGTTCCGAACGCCTGGCCAGGTCCTTGAGCTAGGGCGCCCACTGCGCTGGTTCTGGGTTCTCCCTGCTTTACCGACCCTGCTCTCTTGGTTTGACCGCTTTCTATGCCGTCATCAGTATCTCCTTATTCGGATCAGTTCACCTCGCCTGACTGTGCGACCTTTAGCCTTTTTGGCTTCGGTAGCCTGAGCCACCCAATAAGAAACTGGACTCTGGCTTGTAGCAGGCGAGTAGATACTCCTCTCCCGTGGGCTCATATCCTGCTTCTCATTGATATGACTTCATCTCTTATTCTTCATTTTGCAATGGGACTTCTGGGACGTGACAATGATTGGCAAATATTTGCCGAACAAATTGCTCTCCCCTCATCATACCTGCAGGAAGGGAGTCATTTTACCTGGCTGATGCCTGTAAGGAGGGAGGGGCTTGCCCTCCTTTAAACAGCCACCATTTATTGCCAGAACTGGCAACGAAGCCGAGAACAAGCCAGGTGAAGGTCTGTGTCCCTTGGAGTTGGCATCCTGATAGCTGCATGGCATGGCAATGAACTTGGGCACTGTCAAGATCTTAATCCTGGTGCCACCTACCTGTGTGGTCTTGAGCAAGTCATTTAGCCTCTTTAAGCTTCACTTTGTATAATATGGCCCCATGAAAGTACTTATATGGGGGGAAAGGTGGCCCAAACAATGTATACACGTGTGAGTATATGTAAAAATGATAAAAAAAAATAGTACTTATATTGAGAGAAGATTGATATTATCAGAGTATGTGTAAATGCTTGGCCCGGCCCACTGTTGGCTGTTTCACTTGTTATATTCACACGTCTACCTGACTCACTCCCTTATCTTTTTCAGGCCTGTGCTTAAGTGTCATTTCTTCACTGAGGCCACCTGTGATTACCCCAGCTCTTTCCCTACTTTGTCACTGCAGTACCTCTCACCATCAGACACTAAATAGTTCACCTATGTATCTTGTTTTTGTAGTCTATGTCTCTCACTACCAAGTGAGCTTCATGAAGACAGAAACTTTTATCAACTTTGTCCCTTGGTGTATTCCTAGCACCTGCTACATAGTAGGATCTCAAGTGCTTGCTGAATGAATGCGTGCAAAGTAGAAATTACCATCATCCAGACTTTCCACATGAGAAGACTACAGCTCAGAGAGTTATACCCACTGCTCACGCTCACATTCCTTGGTCAAGGTTGGAGCCAGGATTCAAACCCAGGAATACCTGACCCCAATATCAGGCTCTTGGCTTCTGTGACACTCAGGTCAGGTAGGAGCTGGTTCTGATCAGATCACATCAGCCACTCTTTGATGTGACCAGGGTGGAGAGTGGCCCTTGAGATAACATCATCAGCCAAGATATTCACAGGCAAATCAGAGGTCACATGGCCCAGTGCCAGCAGGCATTGTGCCCTCAGTGAACTTTCCCAGCCAGGTCTGGCATTTTCTGGGGCAAGGCCCTTAGGCTCTTTAATTTAAAAGCTGAGTGACCTTTCATCTCATCTGCCCTCAGTTTCTCTTCTATAAAATGGAAAGAGTAAACGCACCCATTCAGGAATCTCTAAGTTAGTGATCCCATTACTGGTTAGTGCTAAGATGCTGTGCCTATCTGTAAGGACCTTGAGCCCAGGAGAAGAATCTGACAATTAAACTACTATGACAGGGCCAGGTATGGCGGTTCATGTCTATAATCCCAGCACTCAGGAGGCTGAGGCAGGACGATCTTGAATTTAAGGCCAGCCTGGGCTACATAGGGAGACCCTGTATCAAAAAGAAAAGGAAAAAAAAAGGCTGAGGATGTAGCTCACAAGTAGAGCATTTGCCCAGCATGTTCATGGCCCTGGATTTTATCCCTAGCACGGCAAAGCAAAACAAAACAAAAACTACCATGACAGTAGCAGTTGATCAGGAATGCTTTTCAAAGGAGGTGATAATGGCATTCTGAAGGCTAGTTAGAATTTGTCAGGGAGAGGGCTGGTGGAGTGGCTCAAGTGGTAGAGGACCCGCTGGCAAGCACCAGGCCCTGAGTTCAAACCCCAGGACCACACACAAAAAGAAAGTTTAAGAATTTGCCAGGGACAGAAAGGCCTCCCTGGCAAGGGAATGGCTTAAACAATGGCTTCTCTTCCTGGGTATAGATAAGACTATGTTATTTGTGAAGAGAGCTCATCCATTTAGAAAGGCCAACTTGGATGACTGAGATGTTTGAACTGTGGAAAAATTGAATTGACTTTGCTGTTCCACCCCTAAATATTTCAATGTAAAACTGAACTCACTTTGCTACCTCAGCCTTAAATATTTCAGTGTGCCTCTCTAAAAATAAAAACATCTCCTTTGTGGCTAAATTAGTATTATTATAATTAATTAATAATTCTATAATATTGATTATTGATCAATAGCCAGATTCTGACTATTGTCAGATTGTCCCAGTTGTCCCTCAGATGTCATCTACACCTACCTTATCTAAGACAGGATTCTCTAGGACATCACATGCACCCGTCATAATGTCCTTTAAGTCCTCTTTAAGCCAGAGCATCCCTTTTATCAGGGATAACCCTGTGAATAGGAGAGAAGCCAGCTGGATCTGAGTAGGTTATATTAGCTACTCTAGTATGACCAGGGTGGGGTGGACCCTGACGTAAGAAATTCCATCTGAGTTAGAGGGTTTTGGAAAGGGGCTTGGCAGATGTCGGGAGGTGGGGGCACTGTTCTGCTTGTGGCAGAAGTAAAAGGAAGGGCCATGTAACCCTGGCCAGCTGGAGGAGGCTGAAAACCTGCCTGTGCAGGAGAAAATGTGGCTTTGGGGAGTGGCTGGGGAAAGATGGGTCACTGGGGCTGAGGTGAGGGCATCCAGGGTCTCCTGTTCACTGCTAGGCAGGGGAGAAGATAAGTGATTCAACATGCCCTCTGCAACCATAACACCAACTTTAAATCGTTCACATTTAAAATTTCTCTAATTTCTTTCTCTTTTTTTGCGGTACTGGGGCTTGAACTCAGGGCCTACAGCTTGAGCCACTCTACCAGCTCTTTTTTGTGAAGGGTTTTTTCAAGATAGGGTCTCACTGAACCATTTGCCTGGGCTGACTTCGAACCATGATCCTCTTAAGTAGCTAGGATTACAGGTGTGAGCCACCAGCAGGGCAAGATTTGAATCTTAAAAAGAGGCAATTATGACATGATCAAAGTACATAATATATGTGTAAAAATGTTATAATGGAACCAATTAAAGAGGCAATTGTGTATCAAAGATTTAATAATTTTGAAAGCAATGCTTAATCATTATAGATTAGTTTAGAAGTACAGAAAAGTTTTAAAACTAAAATCCCAATATTTTCCCAACTCAGAGACATTGGTAACATTGTCACATATTTCTGTGTAGTCTTTTTTTTAAAGTTAATATTTATAAACTTGAGGTCCTCCTGTGTATAATAGTTGAAAAGACATATATTTTAAACAGGTAGAAAGAAGCAGCATGTTACTTGTTTTAGGAAATCTGTTAACTTTAACATGGACCAAGCTGAAGATAGAACCTTCTAGAAGTTACCATCCCTCATGAGTAATTAGAAGCTGAGTAGACTCAGTCAGTAACAATCATTTATTGAGCATATACTATTTGTCAGGTATCATGCAGAGTGCTGGAGACTCAGAAGAGGACAAGCCAGACCCAGTCCCTGTCCTTACACAGCCCACAGTCCCTCAGAGGAAAGAGACAATTACAACAGGATAAATCATTGGGAATAATCAAGTCATTACATCAAGCGTGTAGAGCTGTAGAGTTCAGGGGTGTTGGATGAACCTAGTCTGGAGGTTCAGGAAGACTTTGCAGTGGGCTGACCTGAGACTTATAGGGCAGAGGAAGAGCCGGAAAGCCCAGCCTAGCCGAAGGCCCCGAGGCAGAGAACCTGTGTCAGGAACTGCAGGAGGCCAGTATAGCTGGAGCAGGATTGAGGGGCATAGGGCGAGGTAGGAGAGGTGAGTGCTCGCCAAGTCCTGCACACTTTCTAGGTTGCAGGGGGGGCCTGGAGGAGTGGAGAGATGTTGGAGGTATTGGGGTTGTTCGTTTGTTTGTTTGGAGATAGCATCTTACTATGTAGTCCAAGCTGGCCTTGAACTGGCAATCCACCTGCCTCAGCCTCCTCAGGGCTGGGATTGTAAGCATGTACCACCATGCCCAGAAGGTTATCGGAAGCTTTTAAACTGGGAATGATGAGATGAGATTTATGTTTGTTAAAGCTAAGTCTGGGAGCTGGGCACCAGTGGCTCACACCTGTAATCCTAGCTACTTGGAAAGGCTGAGATTGGGATGGTTGTGGTTTGAGGCTAGCCTAGGCAAATAAATCACAAGACCCCATCTCCAAACAAACCAGAACAAAATAGACTGAAAGTGTGGTTCAAGTGGTAGAGAATACTTTGCAAGAATGAAGTCCTGAGTTCAAACTCCAGTTCCACCAAAAACAAAAACAAAAAAACAGATAAGTCTGGGGTTGGCAGTGCAGCCCAGTGGTAGAGCATGTGTGATGCCCAAGGTTTGATCCTCAGCACCATAAAAAAATCAATTAAATAAAAAATAAATAAAAGATGAGTCTGGAACATCACAAAGAGCCAAGGGAGCAACTGCACAAGGCTAGTTGATCAGGGATGGTGGAGATCTTTTACTTACATCATCTCTGATGGCTCTGATGGCCTCTGAGGGCTTTTTGGTGGTGCTGGGATTTGAACTGAGGGCTTCACGCTTGCTAGGGAAGCACTCCACCACTTGAGCCAAACCTATAGCCCTAACATCACTTTTTACGGTTGGGAAACTCAGGCTCAAAGAAGTTAAATGACAAGCCTAAGGCCACACTCCCAGGAAGAGCTGGTTATTTAAATCCAGATGTGACTGGGAAACTAGCATTATCCCTCTCGATGTGTCATTAGAATTAAGAGTAGGGAGAGAGGAGAACGAGTCAAAGGGAGACCTCTGATGCAGTAGTAACTGTTTCCTTCTCTTTCCACAGCTATGGAGTCAAAATCCGGGCCCCTCATGCACTCGTCATGACCCTTCTCTTCAAGAGTGGCAGGTACCCATGCCCAAGCTGGGAGAGGATGTGGTCGGCCCTCAGGGCAAGACAGTTGTCATAGCTTCCTAGACAGGTCTACCCTGTCCTCCCTGAATATCTCCTAAAGTCCAGCACTGATTCTTTGTCCCTGCCTGGCAATGCCCCACTGTCCTCCCAAGAAGCCCACCTTCCAGGTCTGGCTTCAAAGCTTCCTGCAGCCTGGCCTCAGCCATGTCCACCCTGGGGTGTCCTTGGCACACAGAGCACATTGCCCTTCCATGTGCGTGCCCACGTACATCCATCTACACATATTTGCTCATGTGGCAGGAATGCTCTGTCCTCTCCTAGATACCTCTACCTCCCCCAGCACCCATCCAGTCCTCTGTGCGTCTCCTCCTCTGAAAAGTTTATCTCTCCTCCCTCACTCGAGTGTTTTGGCCTTCCTCTGATCTCCCATAACTTCCCACAAGGCCCTTCTCAGAAAATGTCTTGTGATCTAGTTTTATGTATACGAGCTTCTGTGACTCACCTGGAGCTTAGAGAAGTCACCCACCAGCAGCCTACGGGCCAAGTACAACTTGCAAGATTTTCTCTTAATTTTTTTCTTATTTATTTTTGTTTGTCATGGGGTTTTGTCCTCTGAATTTTTTTTTCTTTTTTTAACGGTACTGGAATTTGAACCCAGGTTCTTGTGCTTCCTAGGCAGGCATTCTACCCTTGAGTCCACTGCCAGACCTTTTGCGTTGTTTATTCTTGAGATGGGGTCTCATTATGCCTGTGCTAGCCTGGACTGCAATCCTGCTCTTTGTGCTTTCCCATAGCTAGGCTGACATGTGTGTGCCCCCACACCCAGCCATTGGTTGAGCCACAAACTTTTTGCAGAGGCTGACTTTGAGGCATGACCCTCCTGATCTCACCCTCCCAAGTAGCTCGGATTACAGGCTTGAGCTACTGCTCCAGCCTTAAACATTTTCTTTTTTCTTTTTTTGGCAATACTGAGGGTTGAATTCTACCACTTGAGCCACGCCACTAGCCCTCTGAATCATTTTTTTAAAAAACTGAATTCATTCATTCAGCAAATATTTATTGAGTACCTAGTATGTGTCAGGCACTGTTCTAGGTGCTAGGGATATAGCAATGAACAAAACAGCCAAGAAGAAGCCGGGCACAATGGCTCACGCCTATAACCCTAGTTTCTCAGGAGACACAAATCATGAGGATCGCAGTTCAAAGCCAGGATGGACAAATAGTTTGTGAGACCCTATCTCGAAAAAACCCAACACCAAAAATGGCTGATGGAGAGGCTCAAGGTGTAGGCTCTGAATTCAAACACCAATACCACAAAAAAAAAAAAAAAAAAAAAAAAACCTAACCAAGGAACCTGGCCTCCTAGAGCTTATCTTCTGGCAGGGGTGGCAGAAAATAAGTAAGGGAAGTAGCTGGTATGCTAGAAGGTGACACGGGCTGTGGAGATGAATTAGGGCAGTGGGTGAAGGAGAGGGGACTAGAGGTGTCAGAGGGGGACCAGGTTGCACAATTAAATTGGGACGGCATCCATGAGAAAGTGACATGGAGAAAAGATTTGAAGATTGAAATAGTTGGTCAAGTGGATATCAGGGAACAGAGTGTTCCTGGCTCCTGGAACAGCCAGTGCAAAGGCCCTGAGTTGGGATCATGAGAAGGCTGGAACAGAGTGGTTGAAAGGGGGAGACAGCAGAGAGAAAGGAGGGTCATAGCAGTGTCCTGGGTCAGGCCTGTCCAGCTTTAGGCCAGGGAGAGGAGTTTGGTTTTTCCTGTAAGTAACAAGGAAATGGCTAGAAGATTTTGAGCAGGAGTGTGCTGTTATTTGACTTATGTGGGTGTTTTGGTTTTTGTTTTTTTGAGACTATGTTGTCCATGCTGGCTCAAACTGTTGGGTTCCAGTGATTTTCCTTCGCCAGCCACCCAAGTAGCAGGGACTACCAGTGTGTCATTGTGCCTGGCTTATTTGGCTTTTGTCAAACCCTTACAGAGTGATTGTTAATGATTTGCTGCAGGTTAAGAACAGGTTTTCAGGGCAGGAGGGGCCATCACAAGGGTAAACGGAGGTGCATATTAGCAAGCTGTGGCAATGATCCAGGTGACCAACAATGTAGGTTCAGACCTGAAGGGCAGCCAAGGCAGGTAGGAGAGTAGTCAGTGTCTAGAAACATCTAGAAGGCAGAATCAGTGCCAACACTTAACACTGGGAGATTCCACATGGAAATCCAGCTTTCCTTTTTTGGCTTGTTTGTTTTAGCTAGAGTCTCTCTATGTAGCCCAGGCTGGCCTTGAACTCTCGATCCTCCTTCCTTACCCTCCCCAGTGCTGGGTTTACAGTAGTATACCACCACACCCAACTGAAATCCAGCTTTCTTGACTTAAAACTGACAATCTGGGGACTGTGTTCCTGTGGGTGAGATCCAGCTGCTCCTGGCTGATTTCCACAGGGCCCAGGGGACCCTCTGTGCTCATGTAAGGTTCTCGAGTGGCCATTCCTGAATTGAGAGGTAGGTGTAATCTCTGCTTCCCTCCCTGCGTTCTCTACTGCCCCCTAGTGACTCTTAAAAAATACCTCTTCATTCTGAGGGGAGACAAAACTCAGCATGGCCCCATCACCTCCCTGTTGCCCCTCATCCTCTGCCCCACACCTCGTCTGCTCATAGCCACACTGACTTCTCGGTTTCTTTACGCCCACTCTCTGTCCCTCCTAAGGGCCTTTACACGTGCTAAGTCCCCTGCCTGGGATGTAACCACCCTCACCTCTTAAGTTCATGGATTCATCCTTTGCATCCTGGGAACCTCACTTGTCAGTCAGCCTTTGACCCTTGTCTTCGTGCTTGTGTTTCCCTCTCGCAAGCTCCATGAGGGCAGCAAGCCGACCTGTTGCTTCTCAGAATTGTATCCCCAGATCCAGCACATAGTAGGCACTCACTCACTCATTTCTTCACATGTTCACTCCAAAAAGGATTTATGAGTACCTACCATGTGCCAGGCTCTGTTCTGGGCCCTTAGGGTGAACAAATCACATGTACACACTACTCTCAAGAGCCGTCACTGGGGTGGGGTGGGATGGGGTGGGGCAGGGATGCTTATTAAACAAGCAGATTGCCTGGTGGTGGTGATCAGAACTATGAAGGAAAAGAAAAGCAGGGTAAAGGGAATGGCTTGCTAAGGCTGAGTCAAGGCCAAAGTGTGGCGAGAGAGTCGCCTAGCCCTGAGGACATGGAGGGCAGAGGCCTAGGACTGAATGAACTCCGGCCCTTCAGCTGCTTGCCTCATTCAGTTCTGGATGTCCAAGGGGTAACGGCCTTAGAAGAGTGGGGCCTGCGCTCACGGGGCCTCCCTGTGTTTGTTCAGCCTCTGGGAGAAGCTGCGGGCCATTCTGCAGGCCACGTACACCCACTCCCGGAACCTGGCCTGCTTTGTGTTCATCTACAAGGGGCTCTGTGCTCTGCAGTCCCGAGTGCAAGGCAAGACCCACCAGGTGCACTCTTTCCTGGCTGCCTTCGTCGGGGGTTTCCTGGTGTTTGGAGACAACAACAGCGTCAACAGCCAGGTAAAGTTCTCCCTGAGGTGGCCTGAGGGTGGCACATCAGCAAACCATACTTGGAATCCCGTGGTTCCCCGAGTCACTGTGTCTGCTGCTCTCTGGGGCAAAGTTGTTATTGTTTTAATTACTCTGTGGTAAAATGTGGTGAAACTACCACACAGTAAGGCTGTCATAAAACAAAACTTACATTTGGGAGGTAGAGTTCAGGAGAATCATGGTTGGAGGACAGCCTGAGCAAAAATTTAGTGAGACACCATCTCAACAAGTAAGCTGAGTATGGTGGTTTATAGTGTAATCCTAGCTATACAGGAGGTAAGGAAATGTAGGAAGGTCACAGTTCAAGACTGGTCCCAGGCAAAAACCTGAAACCCTTTCCAAAAACTAGCTAAAGCAAAAAAGGACTGGGGATGTGGTTCAAGTGGTATAGCACCTGCTTAACAGGTGCTGAATTCACCGGTGGCTCACTCCTGTAATCCTAGCTATTTGGAGGGCTAAGATCAGGAGGATTGTAGTTGGAGGCCATCCCAGGCAAATAATTTGAGAGATACCCATCTCCAAAATAACCATAGCAAAATGGACTGGAGGTGTGGCTCAAGCAGTAGAGTACCTGCTTTACAAGTGTGAAGCCCTGAGTTCAAACCCCAGTTCCACCAGGAAAAAAAAAATTAAAACAAATCAATGAAATTGAAAACAGGAAATCAATAGAGAAAATCAACTAGATCAAAAGCTAGTTCTTTGAAAAGATGAATAAAATCAACAGGCTTCTAGCTAGACTCACTGAGAAAAAAAGACCAGACACAAATTACCAATATCAGCAATGACAGAGGAGACGTCACTGTAGATCCCATAGACATTAAAAGGACACTGTGTTTAACTCTTCTCACAGATTTGGTGACCAACATGCAACTGACCAATTCCTTGAATGATACAATCTGCCAGAGACACAAGAATAAATAAGCCAATAGCTATCAAAACCGAAGCCTATGGCTGGGGGCATGGCTCAAGTGGTATTGCACCTGCCTAGCAAGTGCGGAGCCCTGAGTTGAACTCCCAGTGCCACCAAAAAAATGCAGAGACCATGTGCCTGCTTACAACTAGGTGCTTGGGAGACATCATGATAAAACTCAGAAAATAATTCAAAAAGAAGTCTCCATTCCCCTCTAACCCTCAAGCTACTGCAAGAGCCAGTCACAGTGAACTGAGTTTGGTGTGGCCTTTCATACATTTTCTGTGCTTGTGCCTGTGGATCCATGAGGCTTTCCACCTCATGGGTGGAATAATGGGATTATTCTACTCATTGTACTCCCCCCACAACCATGTATCTTGGTTAGACACTTAAATGTCAGCAGAGCACACCTGTGCGTGGATGGACCAGCTTGGTTTCCCTAGTCCCTCTGGATGGACACTTGGAGGGGTTAGCCTTTTGCTATCACACTTGAGATGCAGTCTGCCTTTTTGTTCAGACGTCTTGCACATAAATCAGTCTGTCCATAAGTTTCTGAACATGAGGACTCTGAAGGTATGAACATTTTGTATTGTAAGAAGGTTTTTCCCAGGCCTGTTTTTGTTAGAAATCTCACTGGTCCTTAAAGTCCCCACGTCTAGGAGTCCCAGAAACATCCTTCTTCCTCCTCCACCACCATCCCCTTCCCTGACCTTGATAATGACGCTGTCCTCCAGCTCTAAAATTTTGTCATTTAAACATGTAATGTGAGTGGGATCGTATGTTATGTATGCAACCTGGGGGAACTAACTTTTTGCACTGAGTGTAGCTCCCTAGAGATTTATTTAAATTGTTGTACATATCAATAGTTCACATTTTAATGTCTGGGGAGTGTTTCATGGTATAGATGTACCACAGCTTGGTTAAAATTTTGTCCTTTCAGGACTGGAGGCATGGTTCAAGCTGTGGAGTGCCTACCTACCTAGGAAGCACAATGAACGGAGTTCACCGCCCCCATGTCGCCAAAAAATAATAATAATAATAATAATAATAATAATAATTTTACCATTTGACAGACATCTAGGTTGCTTCTAGCTTTAGGGTATTATGTATGTAGCTGCTAAGAACATTCTTGTACAGGTGTTTATATGAACATAAATTTTCATTTTTCTGGCATAAGTGCCCAAGAGTGCAATTATTAGCTCACATGCATGTGAACATTTAATTTTAAAAGAAATTGCCAGAAGGAAGGAAGGAAAGAAGGAAGGAAGGAAGGAAGTCAAACTGTTTTGCAGAGAGATTGTACGTTTATGGATTCCCATCAAAAATATAGAAATGATCTGGTTTCTGTACATCTTAGCCAACATTCAGTTTATTGCGTTTTTTTAATTGAGCCATTTTGGTAGGTGTATCTCATTGTGGCTTTACTTTGTTTTGGCGGTCCTTGGGTTTGAACTCAGGCTTCGTGCTTGCAAGGCAGGCAGTTGATTTTCCACTTGATCCACGCCCTCAGCCTTCTTGTGGTTTACTTTGCAGTGCCGATGACTTGTGGTGTTGAGCGTCTTCTTTTGTGTTTGTTACCATCTGTGACCTCTTTGGTGAAATGGTTATATCTTTTACCTACTTTCTAATTAGAATCTCTTTTTTTTTCACTATTGAGTGTTTTCAAATATCCCAGATACTAATTCTTTGTCATTTGTAAACATCTTTTTATCACCTGTAGCTTTTCTTTACATCCTCTTCCTACAGACTTTCACAGAGAGAATTTTTAAATTTTAAGGCAATCCAATTTACCAATTTTCTCTCTTGGGGATCATGTTTTTGGTGTCAAGTTACGTTTTGGTTTTGAATTAATGTAAATATACTCATTTTTACATTTTTCTCTAATAAAAAAAAAAGTAAAAGATAAATAGAAGTATTACATTTTCTGCTACACACCACTTCAAATCATCTTGCACGCTGTCTTTATGAAACACTGAGCCAGGACTGATGAAGTGGCTTAAGTGGTAGAGCGTCTGCCTAGCAAGTGTGAGTTCCTGGGTTCAAACCCCAGTGCCGCCAAAAAAAAGAAACACTGAGCCAACGAATGGTAGATGCCCAGAGCAGGGGGTTAGGCGGGAAGAAGTTTCCAGTGGCCATGGCCAGCAGTAATCCCTGTCATTCCCTCCCTACAGATCAACATGTACCTGACATCACGTGTCCTGTTTGCCCTGTGCCGCCTGGGAGTGGAGAAGGGCTACATCCCAGAGCCCAGGTGGAACGTGTTCCCTTTGCACACTGCAGTATTTTGGGGGCTGGTGCTGTGGCTATTTGAGTATCACAGGCCCATGCTGCAGCCCTCTCTGCAATCGTCCATGACCTACCTCTATGAGGATAGCAACATATGGCATGACATCTCAGACTTCCTCATCTATAATAAGAGCAGCAGCCCGTCCAAGTAATACAGCCCCAAAGGCTCATGGGAGCCCCTCTTCCTCAACAGCTTCCAAGCAGTGACCATCTGCAGCTCAAAGTCTGACTCCATCAGCAAACCGTCCCAGTGAATCCTGCCTCTCACGTCACAGGCCTTACACTCCAACTTGTGTTATCCCAGGATTCTGTCTGCTGAAGTAAAAGCACTGGTTTCGCATCCTGTAGGTACTTTTGAATGGTGGGACAAATGGTCGAATCAGGCAGAGGAGACTTGGGGTTGGTTCCAGCCGCGCTGACTTTGTGAGGCCAGGACAAGTCACACCCCTCTCTAGAACTCAGGGGCCTTGCAGCAGAGGACCCTGGTGGGCATGTTCATTCTTCCACTGTGCCTATGTAGCAGGGCATTTTGCGGGTGGGCAGTGGTCACAAATACTTTTTAAAAGTAATGTTAAGTTTCTTATCTCAGGTGCTTTGTTGGAGTTCTAGAGCCTCACTGTCCAGTAGAAACAGTGTGAACCATATATGTAATTAAAATTTTTCAAGGGTTGGGGGCATAGGTCAGAGGTATGGAAACTCTAAGTTCCATCCCCAGCACTGCCAAAAAAAAAATTTTTTTAAATTTTGTCTAGTAGCCACATTTTAAAAAGTACAAAGGAAGCCAAGGCAGGAGAATCTGAAGTTCCAGGCCAGCCTGGGCTACATAGCATGACCTTGTCTCAAAAAAAACAAAAACAAAAACAAAAAAAACAGATGAAGGGCTGGCATAGTGGTTCAAGTGGTAGTGCCTGCCTCACAAGTGTGAGGCCCCGAGTTCAAACCCCAGTACTGCCAAAAAAAACCCCATAAAAAACGGGTGAGATTAATCTTCATTATATATTTTAATTAAATATTTCCCAAATGTTATTTCAACATATGATTAACATAAAAACATAATGAAATATTTTATATTCTTTTTTTCTCATACTGTCTTCAAAGTCGGAAGCATGTTTTATACTTGGAGCACAGCTCACTTTGAGCAGCCACATTTCTTAGTAGCCACATGTGACTGGCGGTTACTATACCAGGGGACTTCTGTCCTCATAGAAGATTCTAGTGGACAGTGCAAATCTAGAGCTAGAGGACATGAGTTTGAGTCCCCACTCCTCTTGTGTTAGCTTGGGGAAGATTCTCCACCTTTCAGAGCCTTCATTTCTCACAAAATGAGGATAATCATAATAATACTGGGTGTAACTATACCTGCTACCACTGCTACCAGTGACTTCCATTTAGTGAGTTCCTACTTCCTCCTAAATGCTTTGCACATCTAATTTTGACGGTGACCTTCCAAGTATGTATGTTAATCCCCATTTTACAGATGTGGAAACTGAGGATCAGAGAGGGGAGATAACTTGCCCAAGGTAATACAACTAGTATGATAGCCAAATCTGGATTTGAACTCAGATCTGTCTGATTTTAAAGCCTATGGTTTTTGTGGGTTTTTTTTTTTCAGTGCCTTACTATAAATTTAGAAACCTAAGTTGTGCTATGCAAATGTTAGCTACTTAAAGGAGCTGGCATTTGAGACAAACTCGAATGCCTGCAGGAGCCTGCAGTGATACAAATGGAAATGTTCAAAGTGCTGTTCAGCAGAGAACGACAGGACACAGTGAACTGGAGATTTGTGTGCCAGGCAGATTTTATAAAACCTCCAGTCTGCAGGAAAATAAGCCCCCTAGGCTGCCAGTGGAAGACCTTGAGTCTATTAGGACTACTTTTATGAATTTACTCACCCCATCCATCTCTATCTATTAAAAATTGCTAGTAGAAACGTACACATGAGTAGCTTGAGAGCTTACTAAAATCAGGTTCTGATTCAGAGGTCTGGGGTGGGCCTGCGTTTCTCAGACTCCCAGACAATGCTGGTGCTGCCACTTTGAGCCCCAGCCTGAGTAACAAGGTAGTGGTGAATGATATGGGGCCGTGCTATTACCCTGCGTGACCAGTGAGTCACAGATTTGTTGGGTAATTGAGGTGGGATTATGTCTGATTCTACAGGGTTCTCAGCCACGAGGGTTCACTGCAAGCCTGCAGAGGAGATTGTGAAGATCCATTTACCCCCTCCGGAAGTTTTAGGGAAGGAGGGAGGTTGGCCATGGCCAAGAAGTTTCTGTAGCAGAAGGTGGAAGTGCCCTGCCTGTACCCCCTCCAGTTTTCCACTTCTGTGCACACCAGCAACTTCTGTTGTGACCCATGTGTCTCCCTGTCTGAGGAATCTGCTTACCACTGGTGCTTGCTCTGCCTCCCACAGCAGGCTGGAGGTCCTAGGGATTAACCTGTCCCTAGAGCAGCCCCAACCCAGGGCTGAGAGATGCCTGCACCTGCAGCCCTGGAGTGCATGCTCTGCGCTGGCTCCCTGAGTTACCCAGCAGGATGGAGCTTCAGTTTCCCACACTGGGAGCCAGCTTGACAACATGCCTTCCATCTGCTTTCTTGTCCCTTGGGGCTAGTACTTCCTGGGACAACCAGGAACTGGCTCACACAACCAGTTGCACGAAATCCTGGTCTTGGTGTCTGCTGTTGGGGGAGCCCCCAAAAAATTGACCTCTGGTCCAGCTGGTCAAGAGGCAGTATTTGTGGTGGTTAGGGGCATGGGGTCAGAACCAGAGTACCTAGGCTCAAGACCTGGACCTTCTGTTTCCTTAAGTGACTTTCCCGTTCTGTGCCGGTTTCCTTATCTGTAAAAAAAGGTGTAACAGCCCCCACCTTACGAGTCTGTGGGATTTAATGGCGTGACATGTTAAGTGAGCACTCAATAAACGTTGCTGTTATTTCTGACATGTGCAGAGGTGGAAGGAAGTCTGGTCCTGAAAGCTGATTAGTCCACCCTGGTCTTAGCCTGTCCTGCTCCCCAGCAGGAGGTAAAGCTTGGCTGTCTGCCCTCCCAAAGTCCCCCCACCGCTGCTGGGGGTTGGCCAGCACCACCACTGACTGTCTCTGCTCTCCAAGAATAGGCTTTCCTCACAGATGGCCTCACTCTGGATCCTGCCAGAGCATCTGGTGCCTCCAACTCCACACTCCAGGGAGGAAGGCGGGGTGGTCCCCTTCAACAAGTAGGACTCTGCTTCTAGCAGACCTGGGAAGAGCCCTGCTCAGCTCCTAGCTGAGCCTCCGTTTGCTATGATCTGTAAAATGGGGATTTCCAAAGGGCCCTTGGCACTTAGTAGCCACTGCAGTTCCTGAATGTCAGTTCCTGAAATGGCGCAGTGGCTTAATTTATACTTGTTCAGTACCTGCTGCATTTGACATGAAACACTGTAAAAATAATAATAATAATAATAATAATAATAATAATAAGCCTTGGGCTTGGGTTGTGGCTCAAGTGGTAGAATGCCTGTCTAGCAAGTGCAGGACCCTGAGTTGATCCTCCAGTACCAAAAAAATAATAGTAATAAATATTTTTAAATCAGTCATACATGCACAAAATACAAAACTCAAATGGTATAAAAAGTATGTAACAGGGATAATCAGGTTCCCTCCTCCACCTAAGCTCCCCCTGGAATGCAGCCCCCGGTCAAGGGTACCCACTACTGCATAGCCTTCTGAGGTTTTCTCTTTGTCTCATGAGAAACTTATACATTGCAGTGTTGTCTCAACTCTTTAGCATCTCCTCCTCGTCCTCTGTGTGTCCAGTTTCTCGTTGAATAATACTCCAGTGTAAAAGTGAGTCTGTGAGTCTGTCCAGCTCCATATAGTGTAGGCAAGTCCTTTGTGTGATTGGTGTAAGGATGAGCCACCCTGGGTGTCCTGAACCTTCCAATGTTCAGGCCTCAGAACTCCAAGTGAAGGAGAAGGACAAAAAAGTTAGTTTGGGGCCCTTCTGCTGAGCAGCTCCTAAATTAGAGATCATTAAGGGAGCCCACATGAGAGTGATGATTCATGGGCTGAAACGCCAAGAAACTGCCCTATTTGATGTTCACCACTTCAGCCTTCCACATCCAAGCTCCAAAAATGATCATGGTGACAGCGTCTCTTTTTACACTGCTCCCTTTACCACTCCATGAGGGCACCCTGGGTTTGGAAGCAGGCTTTGTACCCGACATCCTCCTAAACCAGAACACTGTATGTGCTCCATCTTCCCGAACAAAGCCCACATCATCACAAGCTGGAACTTCAGAGTTGCTTTCTTTAACGAATGAGAGGGTATTTATAAAAAGAAGTATTCTTTTTTATTTCCCTTGTTTTGTCCCAGATTCCCAGAAAATATGTCTTACTTCAGCCTCGAAAGGCATCTTAGAGTGAAGGTTTTGATTTTAGGCAGAGGGTCCCTTGCAGCTCACTCTTGAGAGAGGAAGGCTGAACTGGCCTAGGTGGTGGAAAAAGAAAAGCTGAGCTCTCTTCTGAGCAGTGGTTTGAGAAAGAGTTCCAAACAGAGGGCTCCCTGTGTACTGCACCAGGACTGCTCAAAGCTGCAGATGTCACAATTTAATAAGACAGAAACCAGGCAGAACTGAATGCAAGGCTAGGATAGGGATCAGAAACCCTGTTCCCATTTCCTCCCAAGCTTTTCCTTGTGGGCTGGGTGTCAGCTGAAAGCAAGAGCAGGACGAGGCCACAGAAGCTCTTAAAACACTTCTTTCCAGGTGTGGTGGTGCATTCCTGCAATCCTAGCACTCAGGAAGTTTGCAGTTTATGGTCAGCCCGGGCTATGTAGTGAGACCCTGTCACCAAAAAAAAAATTTGTTTTTTTTTTTGGTTTGGGTTTTTGGGGTTTTTTTTTTGCTATACTGGGGTTTAAACTCAGGGCCTACACCTTGAGCCACTCCACCGCCACCTGTTTTTTTGTGATGAGTTTTTTTTTGAGATAGGATCTCGCAAACTATTTACTGGGGCTGTCTTTGAACCATGTTCCTCCTGATTTCTGCCTCCTGAGTAGCTAGGATTACATACATGAGCCATCAGCACCTGGCACAAAAAAAGATATTTCTTTCAAAGTGCCCTTGTTTATGTATGTCATGAACCCCTTCAGCATCTGGAGGAGCCTATCAACCCTTCTCTGCGTGCTAATAAAATATGTAAGATTGAACTGGAGGTGTGGCTCCAGTGGTAGAGTACCTGCCTAGCAAAGCCGAGGCCCTGAGTTCAAACCCCAGTACCACCAAAAAGACAAAAAGAAAAAAAAAATGCATAAGATTATAAGAGAGACTGTTTATAATAAATACTGTAATTATCTAAACATTTTTAGGGCTGGGGGGGGTGTAGCTCAAGGATAGAACACGCCTAGATGTGCAAGGTGTTGGGTTCTATTCCCAGCACCAAAAAAAAAAAAATTGTGAGATTATTTATATATATATATATATATATATATATATATATATGTGTGTATATATGTATATATACATATATATAATCACAATTTATAATGGTAGGCACTACAAAGTAATACAGGTCAGTATAACAGAATGACTTGGGAGAGCCCTGTATAAAGACAGAGCTATACAAAGCTGTGAAGGAGGGGTGTTCCAGGGCAGGGATCCTGAGGAAGGAACAGCTGACAACATTCCAAGGCCCTGAAGGGGACCAGCATGGCTGAGACTCTGCAGGAGCAAGGCTCGGCTCAGTGGAGATGAAGCTGGGAGGTAGGCTGTGCCCATCAGGCC